GCCCCTTGACAAAACGTAAACTTATATTATTAACATATTTATATATATATATATTATTTACAATACACACAAAAATATTGATATTTATTCACCATGAAAAATACCTAATCACAATAAATATTAATTTATTAATTGTATACGTTTGTGTAACGGAACTGCACGGTGAAAAAAAATAAACGATACTACACTATTTGCATTTGTTACAGTTTGATATTTCGATAAATAAATATAACGATAACGAAGCATACAAAAACAGCTAATAGAATCTGATATTATCCGAATAATAAATTAACCAACTACGGTATAAGTAAAATCATTGATAAATAGTATAAGTAATTATAATATCAAAGTCCTTGTTATTGTCCGTTTAGAGCAGTGATTCTCGGCCCCGGGGTGACACGAAATCTTCGGGAAAAGAAACCAGAACGAGGGAATTTTTAATATTTTCGAATAAAATCGTACTAATGTCGTATTGAAATGTATTCAGCCCTGTTGCATGCAACGATGCAACTTAAATAAAATGTGTGGTTATTATTTTTGTGTGTGCTGTTTTTTTTTTTAACTAAATGAAAGTCACTCGTGTTTTTCATCTAAAATTTTCAATTTCTAACCTAAAATTGCAACGCCCTTTTACCTGTGCATCGTTTTGATGGTATAACATGGATAAGCTAAGAGAATGACACGCAAATTAAAGAACCATTGCTAACGAATAAACGATTCTGAGCCGGGTTCATTTCATAGTGTTGCTTTGTTAAAAATCTATATATGTATATGCCATATTATGGTGAAATAATGAAATAAAAAATTATATAATGCATGTATGCATTATATATTTTTTTGAATAATATTTGTTTAAAATCGGACCTATTTTTCCGTTTTTCCTATGTTTATTCCCGGTTTTCCCATTTATTGGGAAAACTCCTGGGAAAATCAAAAAATAATCTCCTTAAAGTACATCCCGGATTTTCTTTTAGAAAAAGTACTACTATGGTAAATCGGAGCAAAATAAATTTCTAGTAGGAAGTTGTACATAAAAAAAACATAATAATAATAATAATAATAAACATTATTGCAAAACCAATATATTCCTCGCTCCACTCGGAAACTTAAATACCAAGAACCACCGATTTAGAGGTATATTTTTATCAATTTAATTTTATTCGAATAACATGATATTTATTGTATCTGTCTATAGATGTATACTTATAGTTTTCTTATTTTCTTATAATATCTTTCGACAGATCAAATGCAATTCGATTAATATCGAATTGCATTTTTGTAATTGATATGATATTATAGACGAACGGAAATATGATTTTATATAATAATTCGTCGTTTTCATTCGTGTATTTAAATATACAATAACATTTGGCATTTGTATGGATTATTTGAAGCTTTTGCAATTTCGAGCAATCATCGACATCTGCATGTTATAGAACGAATCGGCAAGATTGTAAAACATGGTTTTTTTTTTTGCTTTATTAAGCACGAATTTTAACGGTCGAGAAACGTCTTAAATTATCATTATTATTATTTTTTTTATCCTGAAATCGAACTAGTCATTCGTGTAATAATTCGGTTCATTATGTATGTAAATAATAATATAATACTATACATTCGATATTTTTATTATTTTTTTTGTTTTTAAATCGAAATCATATAAGAAAATACTGCAACAATCAAAAAATACAAAATGCCTACATTTTATTATAATTCAATAGAATTTCTGCAACGTAAATATTATACATTATTTCCACTGAATTAGTGTAATAATAATAATACTCGTGGTGTCACTTAAGGGTTGAACTACTAGTCGGTGGTATATTACGTATCCAAGTGCAATATGATTAAGTATAATATACATATATTATAATGGGTTTTTTTTTTTTTTTTTTTTTTTAACGATATTGCCCATTACTTTATTATTCTTTATTAATGTATTCTCCGAACCTGTAATACCTATATCTAAAAAAATAATTTGATAGACATTATAGTTCACTAAATCATAATGCAATTTTCTCAGTACTATAATATATTTTTTACTATGTAGATTATATTAGAATTTTTTTTTTGATAAAAACGCAAAAATACCATTACTTTTTCCGTAATTTCATTTTATTACTGTACGAAACATAATAATAATATCGTTACGATGGTCATTGAGGTTTTATTTTATTTTGATGAATGAATTTAGAAATATATAACAATAGGTATTAAGTAGGGTTAATATGAGGAAAAAAAAATCGTTTTAACGCCTTAGGCAAGTAAAATTAACTAGTAAAATGTGAATATTTACATAATTATAATAACAATAAGCGCTTCGTGCTAAATCTAAACGGCGTGATAAATTACATAATTTATTATAATAATATGGACAAATATTATTTCACATTATAATTTTATGTGATGTTTTATCACATTGTGGTCGATGATAATTTAAACATTTAACTATGGCCAAAAAAATATGATAGTAAAACGATTTTTAAACATATACGTAACACATTAAATTAAAATGTGAATTTGATTTTTTTTAAATATTAATTTCACGTAGTTTTTATAATGAAAACAGTTTTTCGCGTGTCAATATGGTTACTGTTAAGGTATTACCAATAGCACAACCAGAATATTCATTTTCGGTCCCCTCGCGACTCCTCGTTTCCACCACCGCCGTCCCTATCACAGTTAACCATTGTTTCCTGGTAATTAATTTGTTAAAAAGAGTATTTTCTTGCCGTGACGACCATATCAATTAATAATTTATGCGTCGATAGATAGCCCATATAAATCAACAGAAAAAAAAAAAATCGATTTTAATATCGAAAACTGTGGTGAGCCTTAGAGGTGAACGAACACGGATCCGTTTATCCAAGCCAAGTATTTGAACCAAATCCAGTAGTATAGTGTATATTTTTATTATTGTTGCAAACAAAAAATGATTCTGTAAAAACCGTGGAACTGTATAGCAATAAAGTTGTTGTGTAAATTACGATATAAATAAATCTTATGGTGGACACTGTATCAAATTCTTAAGCGTTATTATAGACTTGACAATTGCTATTTACATAAAACTGGTAAAATTCGCCAATTTCAAATAGTTTTAATAAACTTAAACAATATGTTGACAAATTTACCATCTCCAGAAAACGCTGATGTTAGTAGGAATCGGGTAAAACGAAATGTCAGTTCTCTACGATTATTATTACTAAATTACAAAACAAAAAAAAAAAAAAAATCCCAAAACGATTTTAACAAAATTGTTTTCGATAGTTGCTCTAGTTTTCCCCGTTGTTTCAAATAAAGGACTAAAATAATTTTTAAAAAAAATTACTTTCCCGACACACGCCGACTAGAAAAAATTGTCTACTAGACACCGTTTGTGAGTCGATTACTGGAGCAAGATAATTAAAACGCTTATACAAAAAAAAAAAAAATATCACTACATTACGTTCAACGAAATCGGAAAATGTCAAACGCCTACGCAATCATTTTACCGCGTCCAGAAAACATTAATATGATATTATTCTGTGCGGCGCATTTATTTCTTCGCGGTTATTTCAAATCGCAGAACAAATTCAACGCGGAATCGAATACAACGAAACCGTTTACGCCGCAGTGGAATATCTCGTCGGCGGGTCAACGGAAACCGAAAACGTCAACCGCGAAACGGCTTTCGACAAATACCCCCCCTCTCCCATCAGTTCGTCCGTCCGTTTACGGATTTTTTGTTCACACGACATGACGGCGCGCAGATTGCCGTTCGGAAATCAAATGTACGCGGAGTACTGCACTCGGCCCCGAAAACAGCGGCGACGGGAAAACAACCGGTGACGTACCGGAGCCGCCGCCGGGAACCGCCGGGGGAACGTAACGCTGGAAAAAGCTTTTACTACGGACCGACGTGCGGACGGGGCCGCGAGGCGGCGTACCGTATCCGCGCGGCGCGCCCCGCGAGTAGGCACGGACGGGTCCGGACGCGCGCGCCGACGACGGAGAACGACGTCCGCGCCGTCGGGTCCGGACGAAAAAGTTTGCGCGTACAATTTACCACGCGCTGTAATACACGGCGGCGGCGTCGGCGGCGGCGGCGGCTGACTGTTTTGTATTATGCACGGTGCCGTTTTCGAGCCCCGAGGAACAAACGGCGCGATAGCCGGGTCGGCGGCAGACGGACAGGGTGGGGAAACGGGACGACGCGGAGAGAGAAGACGTTGTGCTACGGTGGTACCGAAATGTCACGGTCCGCGCATTATACGTGCCGCGTACGGTACCGCGGCCGCCGGGTGCAGTCGCGTTTTTGCCGCGCTCCGCTCCGGGCGGAACGCATGAATTATGTATGCGGCCGGATGACGGTCGGCTGCGGCGGCTGCGGCGGCGGAGGACGCGCGACGATGTGACGGCGGTACGGGTCGCGCGCGCGCGAGTAACACGGAAGCGGCTGTCGCGCGCTCGTTGTGTGCGTGTGCGCCGCTCGCGCGCCCGTACACGCGCGGACGTACGTATCGTAATATACAGGGCGATCCCGTTACACGGGAGGTTTTTTTTTTTTCCACCCAACAACATCGTTCCTATTCGGCGGGTCTCGCGAACCGAACAAAAAAACAACGGCGTCGCCGTTCGCCGGGAATTTGAACGCTCGGGACCGATTGTCCAATACGCGAGTGTAATACGCGCGCGTCGTACACAATGAACGACGCGTTCCCGGAATCGTTTCGAACGTAGTCAGGCGAACATTGCACGTTCAAACGGTTTCGTTTCAGACTCCGTCGAGCGGATCGGAGAATGCGGAACGGTTTTTGCGACGATTAATACGTTCGTTGTATTATGTTTTTTTTTCTCCTGCGTACGAGATTTCTACCGGCGATCTTGTTCCGGTGTATCGAATGTGGCGTTTTTCGCCTGAAAGGAAATCGTAACTCGTCGGTACTCTAGACCGGTCGTTGCGATTCGGTTGATAAATATTCGTAGGGACTTGAAATTTTGATAGAAAAATTATATTTGCATTTTCTAGTCGCGGTGACATTTTCAAAACATTTTAGTCATTTTTGAGCTAGACATTTTAATTTTGCGAGGTTTTCGCGTAATTTGTATTCGGTACCCTATGAATAAAATCCTGTTTTCTGTTAGACCGAACAGAAATGCTTGTAAATTTGACAGGAGTTTCATTACGAGTCGTAATTTGTGGTAGAAAAAAAAATTTAATGTATGAATTTTTTTTATAAGAATTTTTATACAGAGTTTTAACAAATTGTAAATATTACGGCCTTTCAACATATGTATAACGGAACTCCATTCAGAATCGTTTTTTGTTGGCGCTAATTAACCGTTATGTATAGATACACTGAATTCCCCCATGCATACTAGCTTCCCAACTTCTCACCTATACAACAATTGCCCACCCATCGTGCGAAGTACGTTCGTCTTTTGTTTTATAATTTAGCGTTAAAGGCTATGTGAAATTGGTTGTAAAACATTTGCGTTCAAACGTGCTTGATAAAAATTACCACTACTTTCGTCTGTTATGTTTGAATCATTAATCGTTTTCTGTTACGTTTTTCGTTTGAACCGTTAAACGTTGTAATCATAACGTTTTAAAACTCTATTCCATTGTAGGAAAAATAAAAATAATAATAATAAATACTCCGTATCTTAAAATAAATATCTACAGTCTTTGAGCAAAGTTCGAGTCGCTGATAAAGAGCCGTTAAATAAATAATACAACATAAATGTTGCAAATATAAGACAACTATAAGACAATATCGCTAAATGGCTAAATAACTAAACGGTCTAACCTAAAAGACGTTGGTGCGGTGATCATTCAGATTCATGTAGTTTTCGTGGTCCAAAGTTCTAGCTTAACGCCTCTCTCTAAGGGCCCTATATAACTATATAGCTTCCTTACAGTCAGCTTCGAGTCTATTCGCTTTTATCTTAATCCAGTTTGCGTACTGTATTTGTTGTTACAGATTGTGAATGTATATTTTTTATTATTTTAAATATAAAAAGAAAAACCTTAACGCAGGTGTACGCGGGTGTAAATGAATTGCGTCACATAATTATATCACTAATATACTTTTTTTTTGCCGAACAAACATTAAATCATTGTCACTTGTGATATTGTTATTTTCAGTATAACACGCATTCGGATATCGATTGGTACACTCGCACGATTCAGAGGCGTACACGGGAATGATTTTATAGGGACCGTTCATCATTAGTACATGCATTTTATTTGTTCTCGTATAGCTATAATTATAGTTGAATTTATAACCAACAGATTACACTCACAATAATTATACACACACAGCGTCACACACTTACACACATATTTACAGAAGGGTTTTCTTAACTTATTAAGGGGGTCCGGACCCGAAATTCTCCCCTCAGATACGCCCTTGGTGCGATTTACACCGAAATATAAAGGGAACGAGATTAAGACGCAATTATACAAATAAAGAAAATTCCAAAAATTGACTCCGCCCGGGGAAGACTTACACTGGACCTGATCTAGCTATAGTGCGCGAATTCAGACAGCAAAAATAACATGCGTCTCTTTCGAGTATCGCTAGTTTAAAAGTACGACGGTTATTATGTTTTGAAAATCAATATAGTCGAGGATAACACGGCGTGTTCGCGCGGTACGCGTACAAGATATATATATATGACAGTGAAATCCTAAAGGTATTGTACGGGTAATGTATAAAACGATTCGATAATGTCTGGAAAAAAAAAAACAATAAAAAAATACCCGAATCGAGTTCGCTCAAAATCTTCGTCTAGACAACCGCCGTCGCCGATCCGCGATGATAAATGAATCGTCCTGTACACCGGCCGTAGTCGTACGGTAATAATATATACCGATGAAACGGAAACTTCCGGTTTTTGCCAGAGGCTCCCGAAAATGTATAATATACAGTCGGAGAGGGTGAGGAATAAAAAATGAGTGTATACAAAGCAATACAATTTTCAATTGGCCCGCCGCGACGCTTGTTCTCTTTGGCCGGCCGCCCTTTGCAGGTATTCCGGACGTTTATATTATGAAGGCGTAACGAGAAGAAAAATAAAGAGAAAAAAGTAAAATAAATCAAATAACCCGTCGGCCGACGAAACGGGAAAACTGCGAGTAAAACAAAACAAAACAAAAAAAAAAACCGTATAACCACTATAATTAATATTTAGTTTACGTAACGTAAAGTTAGTTGCGATTTTCGTCAAACATTGTGACAATATAAAATTAATCTGAAAATTATACAGCGTCTAAAAAATAACTAATATTATTCTCGGTTTTCGTCCGTGAAAATTGCGGGTCTCCGCGATTATTTATAATTCAACCAAATCGTAACAAAAAAACCAATAACCGAAAGTAACGGAAACCGTCATTGATATGCGCAAATATTTCCGTTTTTCCGATGCGGGTTTTATTTTTTTAGAATAGAAAATGTAAATATTATAAAAATATGTACAGTTTACCGGTTTATACACAAGGTGTCCCACGGAGATCCGACAAATGCATTAACTTTTGTCCTGTTTAATATTTTCAAGTTTTTTTTTTTCGAAAATTATCGTAAAATTCAAATAATCGTAGAAAATTAACGGCCCATTCTATAGGTACATCCTCATAACGCAAAAAAAAAAAACTAATTCTTGGGCCGGGTACGACCACTTATAGGTGAGAAGTTGGGAAGGTAGAATATCGAATTTAATGTAAATCTGTACGTAAAGATCAAACACTGCTAAAGAAATTCTGAACCGAGTTCTGTTTCACATGTTTTGAAAGGCCTTAAGATTTACGATTTTCGTCAAAATGTATCATTAGAGATAATTACGTACTACATTAAACCCAACTCGCAAAATTAATACGTTTATTAACTTAACGGCTCGAAAACGGCTAAAACGTTTTGAATATTGTACCGCGACTAAAAAAGTCAAGTAAATGTGTTCCAGATTTCAAGTCTCCGCAAACATAAGACTCTTACGGGAACCAATAGGACAAAAATAAAACCAGAACGGAAGAGATCGCTTTCGTCGCCAAGCGTACCATAACCCCGGTGTGTATGAATCGCCAAAAATAGGTAATAATATAAAACGTGACGAAAGAAAGGGTAGGTTGAACGAAATTTGTGGCGCGCATATTGTGTATAACGGAACCTACAAAATAAAAGTATAACCTATATTTTTATTTTTAAATACCTATATAATTGAATCTGTGACTGATAACCTGTACGAAATGGAAATCCGAAATACGTTGTACAATTTTAGAAATCTATTGGTCAGTAGTGGGTTAAAAGCTATCTGTAAATCGCCAACGAACGTTTACGCGACTCCGCTTGAATATTATTATCGTCACGTCGAGACGGACGCGAACGAAAAACAGAAGCGGGCGAATGTAATATATTATTATTAAATTATTCGAGTGAACGTTAAAAAAAAAAAAAAAAAAAAACCGTATAATAAACAGACGAGAACATTATGAAAACCTTTACGCGCCGAGGACCGAGCGTTTTATTCTCGTACGCACGCGTTACGTTATTATTATTATCGGCCGGGGGCGAGGGGGAAGGGGCGCGCGTTGTACAGTCGAGCGCGCGCGCGTTCGGAAACGGGCGACGGCGCGTAAACGGTTCTAAACGGACGGACGCGAGAGCGGCGCGTTATTAACGGTCGGCGTCTCCGATGGGTACGGCGAGCGTTTTTTTTTTACGTTTTTTTTTTTTTATGTTTTGTCGACGTTGTGTGTATAGGTAACTGCGTACCCGCACGTCACGGTACGGGTCGCGTCCGTCCGCGGATTATCTGCGGCGGTTCACTCGGTCGCGAAAAACGCGGCGTCGCACCGACCGCGTGCTGCGGTGCTGTCGTCCCGCCGCGCGCCCGTCGTGTTGTTCGGAAACCGCCGCACAGACCGTAATGCCGTGTTTACGATATTTTTCCCGTGCGGGAACGACGGCGGGGCGGGGTTAGGCGAAAGGAGTCGCCGTGGGCAACGAAACAGGCACGGGCCCCCCGGCCCGTTCGTCGCCCCCGCGCACCAAGCGTAATTATCGGAAGACGGCGATACAATGTTAATAACGGCGAGTTCGGAAGAAAAACATATTATACGAACAAATAGTCGTAATGTTTTTTTTTTTTTTTTTTTTTTTTAAAACCCCCCTCCCCCCCCCTTGAAGAATCGGTCTGGCTACGGGCCCGGTCCCGTACGGGAAACCGCACTACCGGGACCAAAATCGCTTTACGTCCGATTATACCGTAACAACACGTGCCCCGGCTGTTTCCCAGACCGCGGGAAACGCGAAAAAGCCGTTCTCCGCGAAACTTTCGGACCGGTTGCGTTCGTCGACGCGAATTTTACGCTGTTCGCGTTCTAACGACCGCACGGAGATAAATTCGCTTCTGGCGGTAAAACTCTCAAACCTAAACGAATTACGAAACCTCATGAGTTTGCAAAGTTTCCCCTTTTCGATATGTATTTTAAACAATAAAAAAATAATCCATAATTCCGTGTACAATATATTATTGTGAATTCGATAACGCGGCATATTGTAGTATTGTGTTTGTGCGTGTAGAAACTTAAACAAATTAAACATCTCGGTTTGTAAATTGTTGGCGGAACATTTTTTTCAATTTTCGATTAAATATCGACTGGTATGAATCCGTATTTGATATTTCGCACGATAATTACACGTAAAATGTCACGAACGCTACACTAGCTAGTGCCGGCCGGAAGAAATGACCCAACAATGAATCCTGTAGTGATCAGTTTCTATAGTGACTACTGTTCGTTGTGCAGTATCCTCGCGACAACTGTTAGGACCCTTACACACGTAGACTACTTTATTATTTATTTATTTTTTTTTTTATTTTGTTCGTTTTAGCTTTATGTTTATTATTATTTTATCGCCGAGGCACCTCATAAATCAACAAAAATAATTCGATTTTCGTACCGAAAATACCGATAACCGATGGCGTGTCGGCTTTACCTTCGGGTGTTGAATTTGGATGGCGGAGAGAGAGTGGAAAGTAGCCTATATCTTATTTTTGGTCTAGAACGACATCTATGCAAGGTTTAACTCAACCGGCCGTTTTGTAGTTTTGACACGGACGATTAACAGGCGTCTGCACATCCGTCCAAATAATCGTTTGCGTTTACAATACTAACGGGATTAATATAATAATGCTGATGTTACGGAGGATACACAATGTATACAATATACATATTATCCTTGTCCATCAAATCAACGACCGTCACTGTACGGACGGATGGATACAGCGGGGGTGTAATAGGTGTTCTAAACGTAAATCCCTACGCTTAGACACCCTGAAGTCTGAAAACACGGTTCACACGGAGTCTATCCGTTGAAATTAAAACGGTTAATGCAAACCGCTATGACTTTTCGGTACATTCGATCTTAATCCTTCTTTTAATCCATTAAAGAGCTATGGGTTATATACTTACGCGATTATAAGTGAAACGAGATAATGTTTTCTCATTACACACAAACCGACATGTTCGCGTATTATAACGGGTTCGATTATCATTATATTCTCGTCCGGGAGCGAATTGAAATAAAAAAGTTTCGTTCGCTAAACTCGTTGGCGTGGCCTGGTCGGGCGTATTACAATTGACGTTCGATTTATTATTGTTTTCTGAGTTTAGCGCACAAACAAGGGCGGACGATTTATTACTACTCGTGATAGAGACTCGAGAAGGTATAACGATACCTCCGATATTTATATTCCGACTCGTTGTTGTACCGCGTATACAGACGGGAAGGACTGCTCAAAAAACGACGGCGGCTTTCGCCTAAAGGGAGGCTTACTATACGATTTATTTACGAAAACTCGATTGATACCGGGACAAAATGTAGGTATATTGAAACCCTCGCGCGAATATCGTATTGAAAACAGCTAAATTCCAAAAACCGCCCTAATAGGGGAGAGACAGGATGATTGGGAATGGGTAATCAATAAAAAAAAAAAAAAAAAAACCGCGACGGCATTTATATAGTGGCTGGGTCGGCGGTAAACAAACGTTTCAAAACCGTCGAAAAGATAGACGCGTATGGGAACTGATAGTAGTTCACAACGGGATGAACCGTGCACGTAAACCTCCAAACTAACAATCAATTGCAAATAAATCGATTAGGTAGTTTTTTGTTTGTACGGTGGTTAAAGAGTTTCTAAAATAAGCGATTCGTGCATTATATAACATATTATTTCCGCATGTGTATCGCAAATTTTGTTTTTCGTCGGATAGCGTCATTCGACGACGATACGAGAGCATCCGCACGTAGGTATATAATGTCTAACTCGAAAGGTCCAATATAATAACATGGGTAATTTGATAAATTTACGTACTTACCTACTACAGTAATATACACATTATTGTTATTATTATTATTATTATTATTATTGTGTATGTACAAGCAGTCGAGTGCATCGTTTTAAAAGCCTCCCCCTGTCCTGTCGTCTGGGAACTTCAATCGCGTACAGCGAAACTTTGCCGTTTCATCAAGAAATTTCCGTTTAATCGCACAGGCATTCGGGCGGTCGTGCGGGTGAAACATATTATTATAATTATATCGTACCTAACCTAACAATAATAAAGCGTATATTATATTGTCGTTTCGGAGAGCCCATAATTCACGAGATATTTACTTGTCATCACCGCAGCAGCGCAGCCCCGGAATTATTATTATCATTATTTATTTACTAACTCCCCGAAGGGTAAGCTATGTAATACTGTTACGTGCATATATGATAGATATTAGATAACACGATATGGACGTTTTTAACATTAATAATGAATCGATAAAAAGAAAAGCGATGGAAACGAGGTGAAATAAAATACTGTCTCGGTTCTAAAATACTGAACCACGGTTTAACCGCCGTCAGGTGGGTAACCCTTGACTTGCTTAACCACTATCTACCGGAAACAGACATGCCAGCCCGAATCCAACCGCAGGTATAGTTCGGCACCAGGGCTCTGGAAACCACCCGGATTACTTTCATAAATGTCAAAAGTAAGCCATATTTCGACACCCAATCACCGATAAAGCAGATGATCAGTCCGCACCGTAGGCAGCCAGGTGCTTACCGACACGCATTTGTTAACACAATCTCTGTTGCCGGAGATAAATGAGCTTATCTCGGGCATCCTACGGTGTGACCTGCGGTCGGACCGCGAAAAGACTCCCGGACTCTCTATGCAACTACAGAGAAAAAAACCGACCAAGAAATTAATCCCAGTCGGAACTCTTGACTGTGGTTTCGCTAGATAGGAGCACTGAGCAGTCTGTTGTACCATTCGTATAGGTGAACGCCACATTATTACAAAAATGTTTTGATTTAAGAGATACTAATTTTCATTGAAAATATTCTATGGATCGATTTTGATTTCATATTAAATTTAGGTGCTATTCAACTTAAATATCGCTTTAGTATTTTGCCTTGAGGGTTTATTAAGTCTGTTTGTTTAGAGTTCCAAATGTTCATTCAGAACTCTAGCGTACCAGTACATAGTATACATTACTTTTAAACAGGTGGCGTTTTTAAATTCATCACTACACACTCTACTTACCGTTCCCAACATGTCCAGATACTTTCGTTAAATATTATCCATACGAACGTTAGAACAGCGAGATTTGAGTGATATTATTGCTATACCGTAGGTGATAATAGGTATATACTGGTCACATTAAGGTAAAATTTTCGAAATTGAAAAACGATAGTGTAGGTAGAATTGATAGGGTCTTCTCGGCTTGAAAGGCGGTGTTTATTTACAATAATTACACAAAATACCGTCAACGTGTTCGTCGGCGTGCCGGAAGATTTTCCACATTTATAATGAATAAAAAAAAAAAAAACCCTTTACTACTCGGTTGTGCGTATGAACGTGTGTATTTGCGTGGCATCGGGCACGAAACCTTTTTCACCAACGGCTTCTGATCGATCGCATCCCGGCGGTATAAACGACATCACTCTCTAGAAGTTTAAATGCAACCACGCACGTCATTCGCGTATACGTCGTACTTTTGAACATGGCACATCGCATGCCATCGCGGCCGAACGTCTGTTAGTCTGCGTCGACGGATTTTGGAGAAAACCCTATGTATCGTCCGCACGTCATTATCCTGTACATCCGAAGTCCGTTGGCTGTAATTTACAGACAGTCCGCCAATACATAATATGTTATATAAATAGAAAATCTGCAACTGACGCCACTGCGACCGTCCGACAGGTGTGGATCCAGAGTAGTTATTAGGGGGGCATTTTATTAGGAGCATTTTATATTGTGGACATAACATAATATATAAAATTCATTAATTCTAAATATTTAAGTGTTTCCATAAATATTTCTTAACATTGTAAAGGAATAAACTTTCAACTAAAAAATTTAAATAAACTAGGTAGGCTAGGTACATTGAAAAGAACACTTTAAGAAATTAGTAAAAACAATTAAAAAATATTAATTATGAACTAAAATATAAATTATAAAGCAAAATTTAATTTTCTTTTGATTTTGAAAACCTGTCAATAACTTAAGTGACGTCTGCGTCAATATCACGATGAATATTTAAATTAGCAAGTCCAGTTAATCTGATCTCTGATATAGTTATTTTTAGCCATATTTTGAGTCTTCGTAGTGTGGAAAATGTTCTCTCAACACTTGCATTGTTTATTGAAATAGTTGTCGAAATAGTCAAAAGACGATTGATTAACGGAAATATTTCTTCGTTACAATTTACAAGTATTTCCGTAACACACATCGAATTTACCGAAATGTTTTCAAGTTTTTTACGGTTCCATTTTTGTTTCCATAATCTAAACTCGTAACGTAATTAAGTAAATATTATACCTTTTTCATTTGAAAGAAGTACTTTAAAATCGTCTGCTAATGTTTTAACGATAATGTCTGATTTATTTAATGAATATGAAGTTGCGTTTTCATTTATAAACTTGTCAGGAAGTATGTATGAAATATTAAAGTATTCAAGTGTTTTTTTGTGAAAATCATGATTTTAAACCATAAATGGCATTATTTAATAATGGAATAATTAGGCTAATTTATAATTTTCTTCTGTATGATTGTAACTCTTTTGCCCCACCACGAACAATGCTTATTAGGGTCGGAATAATCATAAAGTAGTTTTTCGCTGTAAACTGTAAAAAAAAAAAAAATTAATGGTTGGCTTATTTGCACGGTTCGTTTGTCCTGAACAATTCACGGTGAATTCAATTAGTATACGTAATATTGGCTGGTGTGGACAATCGCAGTCGCAGTTTTGGGTTGATTTACGCCATTACATACCACTCGTCCATGAGACTTTAAGGTAGTTCATTCTTTCTTAGGGAGATTGTGTCCAGGAAGTTTTTCTGGCGGTTCTTTTTGGTAACTTCCCAATCGTCTTTCGATGTCTCAAGTCGGAGTTGTTGATTACAACGGCGGATTTCCATAGTGGATTTCGTGATTTAAATATTGATGTATTAAGAGAGGATTTTGCGAAACCGTGTACAGGCGATTCCAGTCAGAATTCCGGGCAATAATATAATATATCTAATATCGAAACAAATTTGTACTTCAAAAATCGTATAAAAAATAATTACTATTATGATTTATCTCACGTAAAATTTGAATGCATTTCTGAGCTGAGTAATATTGTAGTAGTATCGGTCGTGTTTATTTCCGCGACAACGTGACTACGTGACAAAGCAACCCAAAAAATAAACAAGTCCCTAATTCAGCGCATATTAATTTACAACACATTTTTTGTAAAAAATAACGTTTTGGCTATTATCAGCACGGCTCATTTAAATCATAAATTTCGAGTCGTGGCTATCTCGTTTCTACAACGCTCCTGATATATTCCTTACTGCGAGTATCTCGACTACGTATCTCATTTCTAAAACGATATTTCCAGTTGAAAGCCAATCGATATACACAAAATGTGTATAAAAACGTTTCGTGCGCCACTCGCGGTGACAGGTGTCATCGTAATGAAGACGTATTACGGTTTTGTTAAAATTCGTTTTTTTTTTTTTTTTTTTTTTATTTTATAAAATATATATTTATTACAGTTTTGCGTTTAATTATATTTGTATAACTGTAATAATATAATATTTTGTCGAATAAAAATATTTATTTATTATTATTACGGTATACTAGATTTTTTTTTTTGTTTGGTCTAGTTGGTTTGTAAGTAATTATGTCGGGTTTTGATTTTCTTATCAGTTTTCATTATAATCAATTAATACCGGAAAAGACGTAAAATGAAAACCGACACATTAACGGCGTTACGTTTTCATTATTTCAGAATTTGTACGCCTTATGTTTTTTTACGAGAAGTATCGCTTTAATCGAAAAACGATCAAAGGCCTTTTTTTGTTGCATTTTGAATCTAATTGGTGAGTATAAAGTTGTTTCTATAGACATGAAATTTGAATTGAAAACTTATATCAACCTTTTCTAGAAATGATAAAATTTTCAAAATATTCTGAAAATATTGTTGAGCTATTTATTGGCGTTTTACATTTTCAAGTATTTTTTACGTAGGTTTTCTTTGGTGGATGCTATACGGATAAAATTGTTTGACCCAAACATAGATGCTTAAAAATTCAACACGAGGTCCGTTATAATTTGTATTTAGTGATAAAAACAAACAAGTCGAGTGTAATGTAGAAGTAGTTTTTATTATCGTTTGAGTATCAAATATTGATAAACATCGTAAATTTAACGGCATTTCAAAACACGTATAACTGAACGTTGCTCAGAATCGTATATTTCGTTAGCAACGGTTTATTGTCGCTTACATATACCTATTTAAAGTAAACAATTTTACGTATCCTACCATGCTCGACTTCCCATCTACCGCCCATCAGCGGTATAAGATCAATTGTTTTTTTTTTTTTTTTTTTAATTGTTTTGACATAGCAGAAAATATAAATACTTGGACATNTTGTTTTTTTTTTTTTTTTTTTAATTGTTTGGACATAGCAGAAAATATAAATACTTGGACATTTAACGCGAACTTCGTCATCATATTATAATTTGCACTGGATGGTAAAAAAAAAAAAAATGAAATATCTCGCGTAATTTAGCCGTTTTTATTGCTATTATTTATTACAGACGTTTTTGTTGTTTTTTTTTTTTTTCGGACATTTTTGCGCGATCATTTGTCGGAGAATTTTTCGCCGCGTGCAATAATTATTGAAGAGATGTGGCGGAGAAAAAAAAAATAAAAAATAGACTTGTTGCTGCGGCGCAAATACACTAATACTATTTTTATCCGACGGGGTAGTATAATAAATAATGATTGAGTCGACCTAGTTATTTATACCGCGGCGGCGGCGGCGTTCACTTGGACACGACGATACGAAGGATAATAATAATAATATTATATACGAAACTTTGCATTCTAATTCAGATGATTTATCGTTCTCGGAAGAATTGTTTCGTGCCGGGGGTTAGCACGTGTGCGCATACACACACGCAAACACACACGCAAACACACACACACACACATAATAATATAACGTGTAATAAAAGTTAACATCCGACTGAAACGTCGAAATTTCCAACAAAGACGATGTTAATGAATCGCACACGTCAGGATCCCGAAAATAACAAATGCCGACGGGCGTTTCTCGGTTTTTGTTTTTGATACTAATATTGTACTCGTGCTCATGCTACGCATACTCGTGTACGAAAAATTCGGCCGTATTCCGTTTTTGTGACTAGCGCATAATATTGATATGAATGTTCAATAACAAATAAATGCCCCCCTACCGAAAAAAAAAAAACACTAAATGGTTTATATCAAATAAACAGCGGGGTAATTAAGACGGGAGATTAGGGAGATTATTCATCACCCCCCGGGACTTTTTGTTTTGGTATATTTTATTATTTATAAATGATTGGGTACCGATTTCTCACGTTTACATTAATTCCTTATGTTAGTAGGACAAATCAAAAATGTGTTCTCGGTAACGAATAAATTATGTTTCAAAAAATAAAAAACCTGAACGTACAAAATGTTCTTGTGTAAGTAGTAAATAAGCTCTGATGACTGATTTGTAATGGTATAATGAATAAGTGATGTTGTTTTGTTTCATTTTTTTGTAGCTTAGTGTACGCGTTGTGAAATTCGACACGATTTTCAAATTCAATGCCTCCCTCTTTGACAAAATGCTAAATATAATACTGTGTTATAGACACCTATATATTCACGATGAAGATGTACAGCCGAAATAGTTTAAGACGATCAATTACTGAATATCAAATACATATATTATTTATTATTCGCCTCAAAATTTAACACATAGTTAAAATGGCTGTATTTTTCATCCTACGATTTTATATTATATTAAAATAATTAAAAAAAAACTATATTTTGTTTTCTTCTTATTGACCATTGACCTACTCGATCTATAAAGTGTAAAAAAAAAAAAACCATGTTTTAAATAGGAAAATAAATAATTGTCATTTACGATTCACTATCGATACTATGCTAAATATGGTAAGCTAATGACGAAATGCATGCAAAATTACTGAACCGAAAACACTGATTAACGGTTCTGTTTAATTGAAACCAGTTTTTTAAAATAAATTGTTGTTATCAGCCATACTGTTACTAGACCGTTAAGTTGTTGAACTCATTTGAATTCTGAAAAATGCGCGGAGCTCTTTAATCTACGAACAAATCTTATCATTTAATAATAATTTTGTTATCATTTAAAAACTTAATTATATTTTCTTATAAATGGCTGTAATTTTAACGGAACCGGTAAATGATCAAACCAACAGTTAATTGAACTGTTTTCATTCCACAAGGCATGTGATATAATATATAAAACGTATAGTTCTTATTATGGACATTATGTGGGTACATGTTATACTTACTTTATTTTTATTTTTTTTTTTTTTTTAGATACGTATATTCGTAATGGAAACTTCAGGTACTGTTGTTTTCTCGGGAGTTGTTTATACTAATTCGATCTGTACCTCGTCATTTTTTAATGAATACCAAAATACATAATACTATACGTCTATTTGCTAAAGTATAAAAATAACAATATTCGCGGTGTGTGGATAATAACAACATACGTTTTGTTATATTTTTTTTATTGTTACGAATTTATAACTTTTTTTTTAACCTTGTTATTTTCTCATATTTAAAAAAAAAAAAATTTATATTACTGTCGATGGACAACATGTGCCTACATATGGACCGAAAAAATTATTTCAGAATTACTTAGGTATCGCATCGTATTTGGTATAACGTCTAAAAACATTATAGGTATTGTTACACAATAAACAACTTGTTTTTTTTATATTTTTTTATATACGGTTTAAAAGAAGGAAGTAAAATAACTATTTAAACTTTGATAAAAGTAAATGTATTCGTTTCAGAATCAGAGTCTTTCAAGAGTCCTTGTCGTTTTGGCTAAGAAACTCCAAATAGCACACATCATAGTTACAACAATCAACAACTCGGAATCTAAATTCCGACCAATATGCTAACCTTTCCAGTTTATCAAGCTCCATTCAGAATCGTGTTATCAATAATTGCAATTATTGCATCTATGGTGGTTTCCTAACCAGTGATATAACTTAGACTATAAATTATCCTATGGCATATCTCCGAGATGTAAAATAGGTCAGGCTATTAAATTATGCTGTTTGATAGGTATGTTAAAAACCGGAATATTACGTTTTAATAATGATGATTCCAATTAAATTATTTAATAAAAAATAAACATAAATATATTGTGTTTTTTTTTCTTCTATAAAATGTGCCTTTTAGTTTGACTAAAATACATTTTTATTTTTTTAATATTCCTAATATAAAGGGTATCTAATATTGTATTCAACCAATTTTAATAATATATTAAAACCAATCGCGCATTTAATTTCCATTAACGAGGTAAATCCGGTCCATATAGCTACGCAATAACTATTTAAAATCGAGTAATAATATGGTGGATACGGGCTAATATATTTTTAATATTACAATTGTATTAAATATTGTTGAACTAATAATAATGCTATTGCTATAACTGTATTTTCTATATCCATCAAACGCAATAATAATGATATTGCAATCGTTCCCTTAAACAAAAAAATAATAATGGATCATTGACCTTTTTAGACTCGTTAAATTAATTGGATGTGCAGCCTCGTGTACATTAAACGCTCATACAATTGTATTAATATAAAAAGCGTATTTCGAACATTATAATAACACGACGTGTAGTAATGTACAGTGCGGCAATTCTATAAATCTAATCTATCTCGAAATTTTTTATATTTAAACCTACAGTCTGCTATTCATAGATTTCCCTTTAGAATATTATTCAAAATTTCATCGGTATTCTCGGGGGTAAAGAGGTAGGTACACAATAATAATATAACACATCGAATGTTCCTCGTCGGTCATGAATATTATTATTCGTGTTATTTATTCACAAAATAATATTATTTAATCCGGACTGGTTGACCTGACATATAATATAATATACGAAATGTAATTAACATTTGATTACCATATCCTAAAGTTGGTTATTGTGTACCTAACGGTCCGACTGAAAAATATATGTTGAAACATACCTATTCGTCGGGAAATGGAATGATTGGAATGATTACAAAATCAAAAGTTATTTTCAACGTCGATTCGTCACCATTATTATGATATCGGATTCATTTGCATAATAATATTAATAGAATTTCGAACACATTTCACACCGTGGCGTTGTTTAGATTTTTGTGGCTGGAGAGGTATTTTTTTCAGGAATCCGCGCTAGATAACTGAGAGCTTCTAAATCAGCTGGCGCATAAAAATATTATAAATTTAGAAATAGATTATTACCGTCCCATAATTTACTTGTCAGCTATTAGTCTGATTTAATAATCGCGTCCCGTCAATGCACAGTGTATAATGTCTATGATTTCAAGTCCATTCGAGCCTTATCAGGCGAAAAATAAACCGTGAAAATGTGCAATAACATACCAACAATTTAGCGGATTTCGCCGGGAGGAAGAGGCATCTACTCACCCTGTCCCCTCCCCCACAAACACGCCTATACTTGACACGGTGGAAAGGCTACTATTTTAGATGTAGGAAGTTTGGGGGATGTTGAATGTATAGAGCAATATATTTTATATATCTAGGTACTGAAAGCGACGGTAAATCGTTGCCATCAAAAACGATTCTGAAATCGAACTCGATAAATTGCGGGCAATGTAATATTTATCTGTTTTATTTTTTTCACTTTTAGCCTGATTAAACTTTTAGAAATCAACAAAAATAATATCATGCTACGTTTCGGTTTGCTATGTTTGCATTTTCGGTTTTTAATTTTTTTGGAAAAACTTTCGGAAATCTTGACATATTTTGTATTAAATAAAGTTCCCACAGGGGAAAAAGCCCGCATCTTTTTTTTGTTTAGGTATTTACGATGCAAATAATATAGAACATTTTTAATAACCATAAAAAAAAAACTTATCTAAAGAAATACCCTTGATAAAACTAATATACCAGTACTTCAGTAGACTGACTATATTTATATTATTTTCTTTTGTGATAATATATTATCTATTGTGTATAGTTCGCATACAGACTAAATCGATAGAATTTTGTACTACGTGGTGTATACGTAAACAATGATGCACCAATATTGCACAACGCACTTTATCGAGTACATAACATATATTTTAACATATATCAATCCGTCAGTCGGGTTTAATGACACTTTGATAATTTGATATTTTTGTATTATTTCAATGTGTTCACGTTATCATATATTTATATACAAAAGACTTGAACGAGTAATATATATTTCGGGTAAACCAATAAAGTCTTCGCTCTTCAATGTCTCATGATTGTTAGCTTCTGTATTATTTATTTGATCCCAGTATAGAAGGGCTTAAGTTAGTTTTGTATAGTTTTCAATTTAACCAACTAATATTTTCAAAAATACATTCACTTGTATATAATGCAATACACTAATGCACAACATACCTGTACTAATTTTGAAAATACAAACACTAAGGCATGAAATTTAGACCAAAAATAAAGCCTAACCTAACCTAATCGATTACATTAAACTCTTTTAATGTTCTAAAATTCATTTGTTCCTCTGAACAAACGATTTTTATTCTTCGAGAATGAGACACACGGGGAAAAAAATATAGTCATTATTGTAAATTAATATATTTTTTTTTTATTTTTTATTTTAATACGATTACTATTTACGTTGTTCGATTATTAATCAAATTCGAATAAAACCAAGTGTAAGACTATAGGTATATAGAGATAAATCTTTTATTATTTATGAACTGTTTCAATAATTTCGAACAACGCATAAAAGGCTATTTAAATAAAGGCGGATATCTAATGTAAATGTGAGTAAATGCCATTAATATAAAAAAAAAAAAAAAAAAAATGTCTCAATAAAGAGTGTTCGGATAAAGATAATCATCCGTTTCGTGTAGAATTGCACTGTATACATTTGTTGTCTACGTTTTATTGTGAGGGCTGATATTATCATAATATACGACGTACAAATAAACTCGCTGAATAATATTATAAAAATGAAAGATATTTCTACACGTGTACAACCGACACGACCGCGTTTATTCAATTATATATGTATTTATATTTGAATGATGGTTAATATAATATATTACCATTTTATGGATACAGCATTGAAGACGCATTTGAGCGTCTGATACCATCATCACTAAGTCGTTTAGAGTAATTTAATTAATATATTCTGTGTTCAACGACTAATCATTGTTATCGAAAATGATACTGAGTAGAATATTATTAGTCATACTTTCCCCCAAAATTGTCAAGATTTCCTATTCATTAAGAAAACTGCAAAGACAATAAAATAAGAAACTACTCAATACACCAACTAGATCAAGAGTCCAAGGGAAAATGTCTACAAAGTATTTAATCGCAGCGATGTTCCTTCTGGAAAATTTATTTGAAAACACAAAACACCACATCATAGTAAAACCTCTGAAAATCTAAATAAAATAAAATATTCATTAATCACGAATAAAGTACTATATTAATAAGCAGTTTATTTGATATATATAGTTTAAATATATTTTTAATAAAAATAGAAACGCGTTGTATTAAAATAATATTATAACGATATTGTTTGGTTCGCCAACAATAAAAGTGATTATACAATAATATTAGTCGCATTGGAGTTTCGATTTTGATTTTAATATTATTTTAGATTCTGAGAGGAGTAAAGAAGCTTATGACTAAGATGTTTAGTTTTTTTTTAATCTGTAGACAACTTTTCTACCGGAAATTTTGCTCCGATTTTTTAATGTAGCCCCTTTTCTGAAAATAAATCGGTGTGGAAAGATACTTTAAACAGGTAATTTCTTGATTTTCCCAAGAATTTTTCTAGAAAATGTGAAAAACCGGAAAAACATGGGACAACTAGGAAAACGGGAAAATCGGTACACTATTAAACAAATATTATTAACGAAAATATATAACGCCAATTTAATTATTTTACCATAGTGCATATGATAATTATATATATTGTTGGCAAAGCATGACTATCAACTGAACTCCGCTCAGAATCGTTTTTTCGTTAGCAATAGTTTTTCGTTGCTTACAGATGTACATTAAATTCCCTTCTGTATCCTACCTTTCAAACTTCTCACCTACAACAATGACTGCACCCATCCCCATTAACTAAGGATAGCTTTTTAAACTTGCAAGTAGTTACTACGATCGTGAAAAAAAAATGAATACACACTTACATTGATACTAAATTAAAAATATTGTAGGAAATAATATTCGATCGAAGGTAATATTGTCGCGTACAGGCATTATAGAATGTTTTACATAAAAAAATTCGGTGGAAATGCAGCCTACGCTGAAACGTCGAGCTATTGGCATTTAATCCATTATGTATATGTACCGATCATCATGCAGCTGTCCTTTTTTCTTCTTCTTATTCTTCTCTGCGTACATGTATTTCGTTTTATTTTTCGTCAATAGACATTTTTATCTTACAATGAATGCCGTTTGTATTATTTGCCGAAAATTCGATAGAAAAATATTGTACATTATATGATATTGCGGACTGTTCGCACAGGACGAATGGGAGTGGGACGGAACGCGGAGGATAAAAAAATACGTGCCAAACTCCGCCAGTATACCGTATAAATTATTATGGCCGTCGCTGTCGGTTCCTCGGGGGGATACGTCGCGCGGCGGGCAATGCGAAACGATAAAACGTTCGGGGTGACGGACGACGGCGGGGACGTACAGAAAGAAGAAGAAAACTAAAAAAAAAAAAAAAAACCGGGGAAAACTAAGTAAGTGTGTATAGAGGAAAAGGAGAAAAAAAAAAGCAAGCGCGTCCTTCTTTCCCCGGCTAGAATGTGCGGCGATATAGCGCGCGTGTATAACGGCCGGCGATCAATCCATTTTCCCCGGGACGCCTCGCCGCGCGCGCGCACACACACACACACACGCGCGCCCAGTAACGGCGGGACATCCGAAATTAATGGGAATATTCGATTATTTTCGATTATTGTTAATTAACGTGGCGGAGGAGAGGGTTCCACGGTTCCGCGGGTCCCGCGCCCCTTTCGCCGCCGCCGCCGCCGCCTTCGGGACACGGCGTTTAATTGGACCGAACGGGGTAACCGCGACCATTTATCAACCGGGCGCGCGACGGCCGCCTCCCCCGCGGCGGCGAATCCCCGCGCGCGTAAGTAGTGTCATTGAGAAAAACCCTTTTTCGGATTCGAACCGTACGCCGCGCCGCGTTTTCCTCCCGTTCGCTAACCCCACTCCCCCCCCCACTCCGCTCCCGGGGGCACCGTTTTCCGCGACAGTGACGGTCGCGCGCACAGGTCGCCGTGCACCCCGTCATTTCCGAAGCCCGCGAATTTATATAGTGATTGATCGACGAGCGCCCAGGCACACCACCCGCCCCGGGGGCACTCGCCCGTATGCAATCCAATAGCGATACTTACGAGTTACACCGTATATACGCGTACGTACACTACACCGGCGCTTACGCATCATATACCCGCGCGGAGTCCGATTCGCACGAAAAAAAAAAAAAAAAAACGCCCGACCGCATACTCGTGTACACTCGTGTATATATATATAATTATACTTTACGGTCTTGTTTTTTTTTTTCGGGACACTCGGCTAGGAATCGCACGTTGGTTTAACTGTGACACGGGCTGTCCGCAAACGACTTTTACTAGGTACCCGTCAGTGGCGCGCCGGACATTTTTTTTTTTTTCTATACCCGAGGCAAAACAAAATAATTAGGACCCGCTATAAATGGCTATAAACACGGTGTTTTATTTGTCCTATAAATGATCCGTTTCACACCGAAAACATTAAGTGTTTAATTAAATTGACTACATCATACGTATATGCCATAACAATACGATTGCGTCCGAAAACCGCACAGATATGATTTCAACTACAAAATGGTCGGTAGACAAAAACCGCACACTTTATCGGTTGCCGGGCAGGCACACAGTGTGGCCGAATACCGTACCCACTAATAGTGGGTGAAAACCGCACGTCTTGTGTACAGACGCGCGTTGCATTTATATTTCGAAAATAATCTGTTACGTACAAATGCTTATATCTTAGTGTAAACGGCCAAACTAATATTAAGTATTTTCCAGTACGTTCATCTACCGAAATGCGCGTTAACTTGTTACTTGATATGCATGTGGTTTTTAGTGTTTTAGTGGTTTCATATTCAATAAATTTTTCAATTTATAAATTGTACCTAAACAATTTGTTTTTAATAAATTTGTAAATAATATAATAGTCGAAATATGCAATTTTTTGATACAACAATTTTAAAAAGTCTGCGGTTTTAATCCACCAAAAATGTGCGGTTTAGCCCTGAATTTCATCACAAGCGTGCGGTTTTTGGATTGAACGAATAATACCTATGTATATGTAGATTAATAATACAATACACAAAACTAAAGGCATCTCTAGATGGTCACCCGTCCACCCACCCATTTTAGTCACGAGACAATTGCCTTACAAAAACCAACTTTATTGCTACCTGTACCATCCTCGGAATCTCGTTCTGACCGAAAAACGACCGTTTTCGTAACATTTTGAATCTAGTCGACGCGTCAAAAAGGCCAAATTTTTTTTTCTTTACGAATTTTTCCTTTAATTTTCACGGTTTATTGGGAAAATCCTGTAGAAAACGTAGTAAAACCGGAAACGTTTACGGCAATAAACGATTTAATAGTACATTAGATTTTTGATATTTTATATTAGGTATAAGTACTAATTTTACCATACAAAATAGGAGGCGAATAAAAACACGCTTTTAAACGTAATAATAATTATTATTATTATGATCCGTGCATATTTTAGGTTAGGTCGAATTTTCTCGGGACTCGAAGCTAATGCATTTTACAAGACAAAACTTAATACCAACCATTACGCGAGTTCTTCCTGGGTCGTGATAACGACGATACAACATAATATTAAATAAAAGTTCAGACTAGCAACTATTAAAATTCGAATTCTCCGACGGGCATAATTTGACGAGATAGAGTCTGTTTTCCGAAAAGAAATAAAATGAAATTAGGTTCACCAACGTTGAGACCTTAAAATCTCACTTACACGTATAATAATTTATGTATATTTTCTTTTTTCTTATCAGTTGTCTAAGAGAACTTACAATCATTAAATAATCGTATGTGAGACACGGGTTAAATTCTAGCTTTAGGTAGGTCATTGAAAAATATTGAAAAACGACTCGTAAAACAATATTGTTCAGGCATAAAGTATAATTAGTGATCGTATTTTTATTTTCTGATCATATTTTAGAAACGTTTAATACTTTTAAATTCACCATTTCCGAAGGTTATGCTATAGTATACTGTAAAACTATACAGTATACTATACGTAGTATAATGGACTAATGTGGTAATTGGGCCACTATATTTTAATACATTTTAGATTTGACAATAGGCAACCAACTATTTAACATCACTATTTTAAATTATTTTAAACCATATTATTATTGTTTCCATGATTACAAATTTAAATCCTATTTTCGTTATAATCTATTTATGTTGACGGCACTTTTGAATACTGTGTAATGCAATCTGTATCACTTTAATTAAAAAAAAAAATTATAATTGTTCGACTAACTTTAAATTATAAAAAAAAAAAAAAAAATGTTTTGTAAAAAAAATAGTACGTAATTACTATCGTGTACGAGAAAAAATAAATAATTATTCGACTAATTTAACATTATATATTTGTATATATTTAAAATCCTATACTTTTGTGTTATATGTTTGTGGCCCAATACCAGGGTGATAAAATGTACAAAATTATCGTTTACGAATCAGGTAGATAAAATGTGGAGTCAACTCCTAATTAATGCCTATTACAAATAACGGTTGGTCAGAAACCCCATCCCTTCTCATAAATAATGTATACATACACCTCTATCTACGGCTTACATACATTGTTTTAAGTTGCAGTTGCACGTTCTCAATAGTTTTGGATAAAACATTGTTACAATATGAAGTTGAACTTATTTTTATTTTCTATGTAAATATCACTAAAATATGTACCTACCTATAGCCGCAAGATAATTTTTTTTCACTTCCCGATAACCCTCCTCCCCTTATCGTCTCGAAAGACGCGGGCGTCGTGATCTCTTAAATCAGCAACAAGTTCTGAATGGTTCTGTATCAACGGATATATTATCCCTTATCGTGTGGAAATCAAATTGTTATATTCTATGTACATATGTTGTCATATTTTTTAACTGACGTGTTATTTCAAGTATAGATTGTAAGTGTTTTAATAAAATTTAAAAAAAAATCTTTATTTTTTCTCTGACAAACAAAAATAACATTGAGTATAGGCATATGAAAATAAGTACAGGTAAGTATTTATTCCGTTGAAATACAATAATATACGTCACGGGTTACAATAATATAATCAGAAGTGTGACAATGAATAACTACTATTGTGTTATGTTATTTGAAACGTGTCCACGAACCTATTCCAACCGTTAAGTTGTTATACCGAACAGGGCTAAATCTTGAAAAAAAAAAATAATAATAATAATAATAATAAATGATCGTTCTCGGGAAACGCGCAACAAAAGTTTCCGCGGGGAAATACAATTTTTTAATACGTCCGCGTTCCCTATTGTGTATGCAGCGTTCAATATATCAATCATATATACTTTATCGGACTCGTTATTCTAATGTTTGTTTACTAGTATAATGGCGGTTTGGACGGTCGATGTTGAACTTTGCAATTTAACTATCTTATACTTCGATAAGACGTCATCGATATATATATATATATATAAAAAACGCCGGGAAAGAATATCCGTCGGTAAAAAAATAAAAAATAATACATATAGGAATTATTTATACCGTATTATTATATTTTGTACGATGATTTGAAATAATGTTTGAAAAAAAAAACAACAGTTTACTAACAGGAACTAACGTCACTAACGCATTCAGTTTTCTCCGTCTGTATTGCGCTTAATATGACTGAGAGACCAACTACAGATTGTGTCAACCAGTAAATCGCATTAATTAGTAACATGCATTTATACTATGCTTCGGACTAATTTATTATGCACATACAATGCATTTCAACGGGTCAAGCCCAATATACAAAACAGTAATTATTATGACAATCAATACAGAATTGCAGTAAAAAAAAATACACAAAGTAGTGATTAATTAATGATCCGTAATGATAGAATAGGTACACAGATTTAATAAATGAAACGTCAATGCAACAACCAGATATCTCCGAATTACCGTATTAAAAAAATACCATCTCCGGAAAAGTTTTGTTGTTGCAAAAAAAGTAAAACAGTCATCTCCATTTTTATATAATCTCCGCATCTAACGGTCGGATTTGTCTGATTGTTGCACTAATCGACGGGGATTTTTTTTTTTTCTATATGAATTTACAGAAAAGTGATTTTTGAAAAAAAAAATGCAGGTTTCTGGTTGGTGCATTGACGTCCTCAAATTAGATAAAAAACGGAAATCGGGCAGTAGATTAACGGAAAAGTCGTATCATTTAAAGGTAATAAATAATATTTAAATAATACGAAATCGGATACGATTTAGAAATCCGTTTCCGATCCCTATAAGGAATGAAAATATTAAAAATTCATTTGTAGAAGCGATTGCTTTAACGTTAAGCTATCCGGGACCTGTCCTGCACGCTTTTCCCGAGATGGTCTATTGAACTTTCTCTACACTGCTATTTTTGTTTCTACGTAGAAAATGAACAATATTTTATGATTACGATTTTATCGTTATTTAACGTAGTTACCTATACGGATAATTCATTTTAAAATATAATTGATAATATTAGATTTTTAACGAAACGAGGGATATATAGGTTTCAATATGGTATGTTTTTCTATGTATTTATAAACAACTTTTCTACCAAAAATCTCGCTCCAATCAAAACCTTTACAGGAATTTCCCCATAGCACTTTTGATCTAGTTTACTATTTGATACCGAGAAGGGGCCTTTTTTAATTTTTTTATTTTCGATTCCGGGCCATCTTGGCAACAAAGAGAAAAATCCCGATTACCCGATTTTCTGCTCAGTATCGTTTTTCGTTATCAGCGGTTTATCATTGCATACATGCATAAATCACTCTATATTATATCATCTCTTCCAACTTTCCTAAAACAGTGACATAACGACCAGCGCAGTATAGGCCTTTATTTATATTATAGTGTATGATACAATAATTCGTAGCCAAAGTTACAAAACGAACCGAGGTGGGTGTTATTATGCATGCCGCGTTTTATGGTTGTCGGACACCGACGAAGCCGTTTTAATGATGTTTACGTCGGCAATAATAATATCATGTGAGACATGTTATCGGCGTGTACAATTCGTCCGCTCTCGGTATTTTACGATTTGCTCGTCAATTCAAATCCCATAACGACCAGATTTATACCACGTTTTGACACCGAACAGTTAATATACATACGTCTGGCACCACCGCGTTCAGTTAAAACGGTCGGTTCGATTCTAAACGAGGGTCACTCATCCACCCGTTCACTTTATCGTTCGAAAACGACGAAAACCACTAAAATATTGATAGTAAAATTTTCTCTAAATAGTTTATACATTTATACCTACATAATTTACACTCTCTATTTGTACCTACATAATTTACACTCTCTATTTATACCTACATAATCTTACCTCCGCACCGGGAGAGAATAATCTTTTTGCATTTGGAAAAATGTTTTAAACGCCACGCGACCGCACAAAGCCACTCGCTCGAAGAAGCTATTTAAATTTCACCAAGACGATGTTTTTTTTTTCCTCTGAAAATTCATTTTTGGCCAGTAAAAATGCTCTGATTTTTCATACGTAAAACATGAGGATTTACTACCCGGCGATACTATATTTGATACATTTATCGACATTTTCAGCAGTTCACCCTCTTCACCAAGTTCTTCTTTACGTTCGTTCTACTACTCCGCTCAGAATCATTGTTGAAAATGACAATGATTCATCGTTGCATACAGCTTATAAACTAAATTATTCTGTGTATCTTATCTTCCCCACTATAGTGTATAGTGATACACTTACAACACTGACCTACCCGTGAAAACTATCAACTTTTTTCTTCTTCTATTTTACATCCAGGTACGTAGTGGCACTATTTTCTATACCTAGGTCATAACACTAATAGTATCTCGGAACGTTGTCTGCCGGCTCATAACAAATTCTTCTACGCACGACTAATGCAGTAATGGGGCCGTACTTTTTTCACTACGGAGAAATGCTGTTTGCCTGTCAGAGTTCCGTTTATAGGTGGTGCGTGTAATACGAACTCTCTTCAACTTTATTAAACGATATCAGTCAGCACAAAGGCATGGCTATTTTGAATAACTTTAAATTTACAGTATATAGAACGACGAACATAGATTCAATGCATACCATAGCGGTAACGGGAAATGGGTAGCCACGATTCGGATAAGGATCCTGAGAAACGGCTACCGCATTCAAAGATGATAGTAAAAGTAAAATATTATTAATAATTAATAAGAAATTTTAATTTCTTAAAATTGGGGTCTAAAATCAAAAATCAAAAAATAATCGAGTATTTTATAGTAATTATATACTTAAATATATTTTATAGGATTTAGATGATGCTTGTATATGATGCTTGTATATGATGCTTGTTTATTGAAATTTGAAACTCCATATAGTAAATTCGTACGGAATTTTTTGAGTATTTTCTGGGTTTTTCAATTATTACAAAAAAAAGCGAGGGATTTAAAAAAAAAAAATTACCTCTTTTTTGGTATCAGTTAAACAGTTCAAAGCGTTTTAAAAAAAAACATCTTATAAAGGTTTTAATCGCAGCAAGACTTCGTGTTATAAACCTAAAAATCAATTGTACCAGGTTATCGACAGGGCGGCTGTCGCAGTCATACGTTATCTGCATATTAGCATATTATTATAATACAATATACATACGAGTAAATGTGGTAATCGGGGTCGCCTTTCTCGTGTTTCGTCAAAATGTGTCTACGAAATAAAAGTGGCGTATTCGCTTTAAATCACGGACGATACGACGTTGACAGTTAAAAAATGTAACGTGTGTTCATAGGATTATGGAAATCTTGTGCGAAACGAGACAGGATCGTGAGGCATTTGTGTGTATGGTGGGGGAGGGCTAAAATAAAATTGCTCAGCTGATGGATAAGTCGGTCGGATCCGAGCTGCAAACGGCCGACGTTTGAATAAACGTACATACATAGGACGAAAAAAGAAAAAATACACGGTTGCATAAAAGACACAAAATACTATTATAATTAATTTTGCTGGGACTGTCGATCGACAAAACTATTATTGAATACTGATAAGAGGACACCGATAACCCGGCGTGTTATCGAATAGTCACGCAGAAAATGTTTACTTTTATTAGATTCCGAGCGAAGCGAGGAATGTTTGGGTTCAACAATGATTTTCATTATAATTTTTTTTTTGTTATTCACAAAATTTCCACCAAAAATCTCACTACGATATATCAAGTGTAACACCTTTTTTGAAAGAAAATTGTATTTAACTGCGACTTTAAGCAAGGAATTTTTTTATTTTCCAAGCGGTTACAAAATTTTGCCTGTTGAATGCAAATTTGTTGTCGTGCGTTTTTATGGTGGAGTCAGCACATCCAAGTGTGCCGAAATTGATAATATACTACTTACTCATTCAAACAAGGAGAGATATGACACCCTCATCTCTCGCTATAAGCACCTCCCTCCAAATCAAATAAACTGATTTATTCAGCTTATTTTTACGCAATTATCCTATAATACACACAAGAAAACATGGCTACATGAGTATGTCAAAATATTTTTTTTATTTTTATTAATTATTATAATTATTATTTTTGTTATTCATATTATTATTTTTATTATTATTTATTTAATGTGAAAAAAATTAATTTAACTTTTAAATTGTACTGTTTTACTGCATTTGTACAGTTTACCTGTCTTCTAAGCTGATATAAGTTGAAATGATATCAGACATTAAAGTTTTGAGTTTTTGTTGATCAAAGCAGTGGTATTCAAGAGCAAAAACTGTTAACCGTCCTCTCCACGGAATTAACCCAAAGACGCCCCTGATTAATATTCTCAACCGAGCTCCACTCAGAATCGTTTTTGTTGACAATGCTTAAATTTACTTAGGTACAGATATACATTAAATTTCCTTCAATATCCTACCTTCCCAACTTCTCATCTATAAAAACCTTCCGTTCATCCTGCGAGTATGTTTTTCTTATGAATTATTAATACTAAATTTAATTATATTACCTCCCCCCATAATCAAGGTCGGGAGACGTCCTTGTTGACGTCGTTCTTGTCCGAATTTATTATTTTTAATAGGTATAGGTAAGTAGGCTTATATCCTACCGTCGAATGCTTTAAATTTTAGTTTAGTAGGAAATTTCGAAAGAAAACTGTACTATGGCTATAATATTGTATTTGTAAGTTATATTATCGTCTAGTGTTTTCAAACAATTTTTTTATATTTATAATAAGATTGTCAAACATATGTGTTTTAAATTAATTTTTCGTTTTCTAAAACGGGAAATATTATGAACCTGATGTGTGTAACGATAAATTCTCGATTGAAAACATGAACTAATGGCCATATACGAATTGCAAAAAATGATAATGATGCGTATATTAATATACGCTGCGACAACCTAGTTGCGTCCGCGGTTTTTCGGCGACTGTTCCAAGTCGAGTACGCAAGAATAATTGTTATTCTAATTCTATAAGTTTGATGACGAACTCGTTAATATTTATCCGTCGATTATTTATTATCGATACCTTATTATAGGTTGTTAAATATCACCTCACAATTTATTGTTGGAAATTCGTTCATGTTGTTCGTATCAGAAATATCCAAACCGATATTTATATTAAATTGCAAAGCTCAAATTTAACAAACAATCAAAGAGAGGATGTAGTAAACGAAGATTTTATTAAAAATACTATGACTATTAGTTTGAAAAAAAAATATACCACGTTCCTACAGAAATTGGCGTACACAAATTTACCCGTTTTATAAGATAGAAACAATAATTGACACAGTATCTGTATAATAACAATATCCACAAAGGAAGGACATAATACTATTTTTAATTAGTTTTTAATAAATACATTTTTGATCAATAAACAATTTATAATACCTAATATATATTTTTAACCTCGTCGTTTATATAAATTTCAGTTATCAGTCTGTAAAAATAAGAAGAAAAATACGCATATATCAATAATATTATCAATGCGGACGAAATTCGGATGTACCGTGATAAAATCGCGGACGCAACTCGGACAAAATATCATTTATGGACGCAATCCAAATGCGCCGAAATTAATACATGAGTCAGTATGAACCCGTTCTAATGAACACCGAGTCCGTGCACGAGTGAATGCAAAATGTGTACTTACGTACGCTTAATACATGTAAAATTATTATTATTATTATTATTATCTGTGTTCCCGTGTTTTATTCCCGTATCCATGGATATTTGTTTCGGCGAAACCCACTATATTTATTGTGATACTAAATTTATTGCGGATTTTGTACGATTATAATTTAATTTTAATTGTTTACGATATTATGAACTTAATAAACATATTGATTAAAAAAAAAAAAAAAAATACTATTTTAAGGATCGAATACGTAAGATTTTAAAAAATAGCAAAGTTTTGATCATAAAACATTATCTCCAATAATTATGTGCCTACAGAAAAAAATGTTAATAATCGTATACTTGATTTATTAGTGTTATAATGGTCAAAATCTTGAATTTAACAATGTGTACATTCAAATCGTAGATAATTTTTTTTTTTTACTTTATAACAAAACACACATAAATGACACTTCTTAGAAAAAAAAAACACCAGTTTGTTGAAAATGTTTTACTCGTTAAACTGTATGCGAGGGCTCTATTCGTTAATAACTCGCCGAGCTAAATAATAAATTACACAAAAGCTTTTGTCCGACAGGTTTTTCACTATTTGTCGATTTAAATTCAGATAATATTATCATTTACTTTTAACTACAACGTTAACAAATTGTTTTCATCGTCTTTCGAGATTCGGCGCGATTTTCAGTTAAGCGCTAAATTTGATTTATCGTACCCCGTAAACGAATATAATGCGCACATTTTTTTATTATACGTTATTTCAGTGTATTGCGTATAGCGTCACTAAATAACAAATTGATTTTAACGGATAGTATTGGCAGGTATCGCGTTTGGTTAAGTATCCGACGTGCATTACACAAGATGATAGTACACCTATCATCCTACACAGTATCGTCCCATAGATATATATTTCATATCACGGTCCTGGACTTTTCGATATTTATCTCGATAACGAAATTATAAAACGTGTTTACATAGTTAAACTACGTAATTTATACTTGTATTGCGTACTTGGACGCGTTATTTATTTTTACGATGCCGCCGCATTTGCGATATTTATGTTAGCAGAAAATATTATTATTTCCAAGTGCGTTATTCACAATAGAAACACGCTGTAGAAATCAATAAGTTTTTAGGGGCACCACATGATGGTTTTCTTAACTTTCGCCGCTCCGTTCACTGTAAATATACGTCCAAACAACTTTTATACGTATTCAATTTTTATTCAACTTTTATAATATTATTTAAATCCCAAATAACAAGTGCGCATCATCATCGTAAAACCAATATTTATATTACTCGATACGAATCCTAAGCGATTTTGAACTTTTACGTCTTGCAGTTCTTTACGTTGCCACTAAATTATTTATTAATCCACCATACACAAATCCCATCTGGGGACTGCTGACCAAATATTAAAAACGTGATATCAATGAATCTCTTTCACACTCCCTTCCCCCCCTCCTTATTCGGTTTTTTTTTTACATTTACGTTTTGTTTTCCTATACATATTTTTTACTGAATAAAGATGAATTAAAAATGATGTGATACGAATTTAGATATTCTAGCTCAAATATAATAGGTCCATTATGATAATTATTTATTTGTAGAATTCTATAAGCACCGTTATGTTTTTTTTTTTGAAGTTCTGGATGATCTGATATACCGTTGAATTTTATACGATTTTTTTTTTTTGTTTGCAATTCGATAAGAACTTTAGTGAAACCCGCTTATTTGGCCAGTAGGTAGGTAATTAGATTTATTACGGAAATCGAGAGATATAGTTAAAATGTACACGTTGACGATACAAAAGCACGAGCTTATTAAATGAACGAAAATAATAATGACAACCTGTATATACCTACTGTATGAATGAACTGACGTAGCGATAAACGACAGCGCGAAATTGAATTGCGTTGATATTTTATCGGTTTCCCGAAAACGGGTATGAAACTGACGGAGTTTCTATATGCAGTGACGATTGGTGGTATATGATAACAAAACGGGCAAAGTTTACGTGTGGACTTTTCATTAACTTTTATATCTGCCCGGTATTTTTGTGGAGTTTACAATCACCTATACTTTCATAAGGTGTATTGATTTCTACTAGCACTCTACAATATTATCACCGTATGGGACGATGACAGTAATGAATAGATAGAATGATTCGATCAATTGAAGAATTCACGAACAATGGGTTTATAAATGCATTAAATGAAATGAAATAGTCGACAAAACGTCTAAATATTTCATTGGAATTCGTGAAGAAACGTATTCGTCCGATTTCAAGAAATATTTCTGTAAAGCTAACGATGATATAGTAACAGTTACAGTGAATGAATAACACAAACAAAGAATTAAGTGTTTTCAATGGTAATAGTTGGTTTTGAACAGTTTACATTGGAGATTTAAAAATATGTCTGAAATCGCAACATAGTGTTGTTTTTGTTAGAAACACGGTAATTGATTTTGTCCAAAAAATTGGTTGGTAATATTTTCACTAAATTCTTTTTTCATCAGTGTCGTAGGGGCAACCGAAACAGTCACCTTGAGATCGTATGTTTTTTTTTTTTTTTTTGGGAGAGCTTATATGTGTGAATTACGGGGCACTGAAGTGATTATCAAGTATACGGTAGACAAATTATGGTTAAAATTTTAGCAGTATAAACGTGCACGTGAAGTGGGTCGCAAATCATGTAGCACCTACAGTGACAAACTATAATAAAGTTAATAGTATTATACATATAAATGTATATTTACTCGTTTGAAATATTTAATGTGATAAGGTGTGGTTGGGTTTATCTTTTCCGAAAAAAAAAAAAAACAAATAAACATAATTAGTCACAGCAATGTTTTGGTGACAAAGAGTATAATTTTTTTTTTCTATTATAATATAGGAGACAAAAAAAAATATTTCGCCGCTCTTTTCATTTCAGTTTTACGGTGCCTACTCTTGTTATAGTCGTGATGCCAGATTCTACAGAATATAATTCGAGTGTCTTTATTGTGTTTTTACAGCGTTTGTATTTTTGTATTTGTTTTTACAGTGTCAGTGTTACACGGTGGGCAATGCGTATTTGGCGTCCAAGGGTCGGGATGCACTGACATTTTTAAATGACAATATTGAGTCTTTGTATTTTAAAATAACAAACTATGAATGTAAGTACCCGTTATTTATTTAAAAAAAAAAAATTTAACCAAGCAGAAGCTGGTAGATGCACAAAAATAAGATAATTGGGGCGAACATTTTAATCATAGCCACATGCGTCAACTTTTACTCGAATGACCTTTTTACCAAAATTTAATAAACAGTGTAATCTTCTACACAAGTCCATATTGCCCGACAAAACTATAGTGCAATCTCCTACGCAGACCTTATTAGCTATTTAAGTTTGTGATAGGTTACGCGTATGTGCACGTTGCAACACACTTGTTACCTACATAATACTACGAGTGGATACACGGTTTCATGGTTTGGGGCTGGTATATTATTTTAACCACGATGATTTTATATATTTGAAATATTTCGATATTTTGTATTATCGTGTTTAATCACGAAACTGGCATTATTTAAAACGAAAATAACAAAAATTTCCTAACATTCTCTATTAAATACTGTTTGGTGTAAAAGTGTACAATATATTGTATAAGTGTTTACGCTATCCCAATGTACGGAAATAACATGCGTTTGTAGGAGTTTGCTATCGCCCCCGAATCATCGGTAGCGCCCCTCTACCGATCATCGGTACTGCACCGTATCGAGATATTCGAAATGCCGACTATCGCGACAGAACTACCGTTGTGTGAACCGGGCTTGATAACCGTAACAATAATAATGTAGTCTCTCTCGGGGATCATATAATATTGTTCATATTAACGTGCGAAAAAAAAAAAACGTTTAATAAAAGTGTATTTATACGTTTTGTCTCTGCGTACGTCATTTTCATTACCTTCCTATATAATATGCAGGCGCGTATATTGTTAACGACTGCACTTAACTACAGATCCGCATAATTTCGCGTGTACGGAGAACATTAACAAAAAAATAAATAAATAAATGCCGAAAAAATAATAATAATAGTACACATACACATGCACACACACACGCCACAACGTTTGTTCTAGTTATCGCTGCGAGGAAAAAAAGGTCGGGAAATAATTGCCGCAAAGGTTTTTTTTTTATTTTTTAATCCAACATAAAAGCGTCCGAGTCGACATAAAAGAGTACAATGGGCAATTTTATTCTAAAAGCGAAAAACTACGCCTTTTTAGGCTATTACCCGTTACAAACGAGATGCGCGAGAACAACTCGCCACCCCAACACCCTAATCCTTCCACTTTCCCTCTACCACGCCCCCCCTCCCCACTTTAACCTACCGCCGACCACCGCCCGCGCGATCTGCCATCGATGATAAATGGTCCGGCGGTCTTGGTATTTTGCATGGACGTTTATAACGCGAGACCGGCCGTTTCGGGTGTGGGAAAATGAATATATGCGATAATATAAACGACAGACATGACTTAAAAAAATCGCCTCTCAACGGCTTGACTGGCAGATCCGATATATAGTCGAAACGAGGAGGCTGTTTAATTATTATTTCGCCTTGTATACGGTCTATCACGATTTTAACCGTCTCCGGTCATCCGTCTTCTTAATGAATAACCACCACATTGGCTGCCGTCCGCCGCCGCCGCCGCCGCCGCGGACAACGCATAAGTTATAACGGCCTCTTTTTCCCACACGAAACTCATTGTCGATCCGTGTAAATTAATGTACACAAACACGCGATATTATTTAATCGGCCATGCAAACGGTATTCTGCGGACCGTTATTTTGGAGAGATCTTGGAAGATATACAATAATGTATTGAGTAATTACTTAACAAATAATTGTACGCAAAAATAAACTGTTTTTAACGAAAAACGATTCTGAACAGCGAATTATTAGTTGTATATTTGTGTCTTGTTTCTAATTTAATCCAGAAAGTGACAACGAAATGTTAGTTTTTCCCGTATCCTAACACGTTGACGGACAATAGTAGTTATTAGTTTTTTAGGCGTGTTCAGACGGTTATAATATTCACAAGGACATATGTGCTAAAGAAATCGCGTTTCGCATCGCTTTATTATGTTTGGACAAACGTGGTGCCCAATAGTGAGTTAATTTAATATTTATTTAGACACAAAAGTGACGTTTAAGCGTATAATTGATGTTTCAGTATTATCCGTTAGCGTATCCAGAAAATTACATAGAAAATCAAAAAAAAAAAAAACTTCCTCAACGCACCAACCAGATCAGAAATTTTACAAGACAGTCTGTATAACCTTTTTTGACCGGGGCGTGGTTTCTGACAGAAAAGTGGTTTAGAAAAAACATATCGTAGTAAAAAATAATACTCCGAGATTGGCACTAATTTTAAAAATAGTTGATACCGCTAACGGGTGTGTAACTATTTCAGATGAGAAGTTAGGGAGGTAATATGCAAAGTGTTATTTGATTTGTATTTGTACACAATGATTAATCGCTAAAGAAATACGATTTTGAGCGAAGTTTGGTTGAACATGCGTGGAAATGTTTGAAAAATCTAAAATGTCTATGTTTTCCTGTTCACGAACAAAACTACCATAAAATCCAAGTGAACTCGTGAAAATAAATAACACAAATAAAATGACAAAAATGAGTTGACGCGAATTTCACAGCGATATCTGGATACTATTTTACGTAATAAAAATATTAAATTAGTTGTATTAGTTAAATCGGTCAGAATTAATTTATTATTTATTGTATATCGACACAATATACACAGTTACTATAATGAATATAATACTATTATAATGTATTTTTTGATCGTAATTAATTTGTGTTTTGATTAATTTTAGTATTGTTATAGTTGAACTTCAAAGAATTTACGCATTTGCTCAATTTGTTTAAGTATGTTATTTTGTTCGAACACAAACACTTCATATTAATAATTATATACTATTTTAGCACATAAAAAGGAAAAATGTTTTTATTTTAATAACACTTTTTTATTTTTTAAATTCCTAGTGTAGCTTAAAAGCTATTTGTTTTTACTATGACGCCCGTAAAAATAACTCCAATTTATATTTTCGATTTGAAAGAAAAAAGGTTTAAAATTTTAAATCATTTGTCTGTAGTTTTGAATATAAGAAAATCAAATGCTGAAAACACATACCTTCTGTAATACGTTACATACGCTAATTTTGGAAATTGGATTAAAATATACTCGTTCCTTATTTTAGACGAAAAAACAAAAGGGACAAAATTACATAAGAAAAGTGCCGACAATTTACTTCAGTCCTTATTTCCCGGCAGCAAATATTTATACGAGTGCATGCCAAATACATATCATTATCGGTTTTATCTGATTGCTGGACCCAAATAAAGATAATTATTTTTTTCTTTGTATCACGTCGTAGAGGTGGAACAAGTGAATTTTTAAAAAAAAAAATCAAACTCGTCGAGTTATTTGGTTATTGAACCGAAAGGTCTATATAAATCATATATACACAGCAACGGTTTTAAAACGTACAAAATATAAAAAAATATCTTTGAAACCGCGGATAATCGGTATGGTACAATCATTTATAATACAAACACTTTATAATCGTCATTTGTTCCATTTTTTTTTTTTTTATTTGCTCACTAACTAGTCCGGCTCTCAAACGCTCTTGCCGTTTTACGTTATAAATAACTCGACCGTGCATATTATATTATAAAATTGGAATGAAGCGTTTCGGTCCGCTACAAACGGAATACTATACACTTTGAAAGTACGGATAATATTGTCTACGAGTCTTTATTATATATTATTCGGTTTTTTTTTTTTTTTGATATTTATGTATACTGTCTGCCAGTGTATAATATTATAAAACACTGTCGTGCACCGTTAATGAGATATTCGTGTACACCTAACGAGCGCATTATATTTTATCATATCAAGTCAGTTGTTTTCCAAACATATATAATATTGTCTTCGGAACGGCGGCGGCGGCTGCTTTGACACGTATTTTCACAGACGTTAACTCGAATGATGGATGGAAACGTTCTACATTATTAAATCTTGGGGGTTTTCTGCGAGTGCTCGAAAGGTGTATGAATGTTATAGTCGTTTGATACACGTCATATTCCATTTCTGAGTGCACCCATAGTATGACAAGGTTAATTGGGTGACAAATAATAATAATGCACTTCAACTGACGATTTAGGTGAACTAAATTTAACAATATGTTATACTTTAATATTGAAATTGTATACGTGTTACACGAGCACGTGTATACAAATACAAATTACGTATTTTTTTTTTTTTTTTTTTTTTTTATACGGACCCCGTGTCTTTTCTACTGCGAGTCTTAGGAATACATGGTAATATTATGTAAATGCTATCTGTACATACGATATATTTTTAAAAAAAACCGAAACATTATTCTACACTTTTTTATTGAAATGAAAAAAATGTCGAAAATCTGACCAGACGTTCCAATTAAGGCGATTTCGAATGGACATCGCATTAAATTTTCAAGTTTAGTCATCGGGACGATAGAACGTCCCAATTTCGATCCGAGTTCATAATTTAAATTTAATCTTACTATCAGCATTTTTTCAACGAAAACAGTAGTACAAAGTGTATGAAAAAGTCCAGTAAAATGAATTTATTATCGGACTGTCTACATTTAATGCATTGTAAAAGTGCATTTATCTGTTATAAGATACCCATTATCATATTTATGTTTTTCAATCGCAAACATTCAAAAAATCATCTATTTTATTAATAAATGTTAAACATTTCGTAGAGTGGCATAATGTTATCATAACAAAGCCTCCTACATATTTATTTTAAAATTTCAAATCTTTTTTTGTACAATTATTATTATGGTTTTATTTTATTTGAAATTGTCCAGTTCGTCAGTAATCCCACTATTCCATTTCCTCACGATCTCACCACTTGCTCGGCCGAGAATTGTGAATTTTCGGGCTTGGAGGTTAAGCTCACTACCGTTGTTACTTTTAAACCTACAGTGAATGGGGAGTCATTAAATTATACAGGAAAAATTAAACGAGTAAAAAAAGTCCAAGCCAAAGTGTTTGATTAAGACCTAACCTAACCAGTGTTTGTGTCCCGCTTTAATAAAAAAAAAAAGATCGTATAAAAGTTTAAATAGCTTATATCATTCATATATATACATGTTGTATTTTGGTTCATGAAAAAAAAAATCAGAGCGAGGTTTGTGGTAGAAAAGCCGTTAACAGAAAAGGGATAAAAGCATACACCATATAGTAAGATATTTTAATAAACTTATTCATACATTTCCGTAAACTGTTGTAATTGTTCTCAAAACAAAGGATAATACTAAACATCACGATATATCTGAACACTAAATATTAATAGCTAATATAATATTCATCTAAAATTCAAGTGAAATAATTTTAGAATCATTCGCCTGTATTTGACTTATTTCGTCTGTATATAATGTATATTGTATATGATCTAAAAGTCGATTTTTTTTCTTTTTTAAAAATAATAATAATAATTACTATTTGAATATAATATAGTCTAATTAAAAATTAAAAATTAAATGGTTCTTTTTTTTACGTATTTTATTATAATTAAAACTAACTGTTTTAGGCAAATATTGAAATTCCTGGAATTTTACGTTGAAATGTTCATAATATTATAACACGTGAACAATGTTCATAGTTTAACAAAAAATTAAAAATTAAATTTTAATCATTTCGTTGAGTTTAAAAAAGCGACATTTTTTTATTTTAATAATTGTCACACCTGCTCAAATAAAAATGTAAACAATATTGTTTTAACGTAGTACACATTTTTTCAGTAACTACTAAATCACTAAATAAAAAACATTACATGTTGGAATATAAGATTAACGAAAATAACGTACTTACCTTAATTATTATTACTGTGAAAACGCTCGAAATAATAATTTATACATACATAAACAATAAGATGATTTGCACGGTAGGAGAAAGCGTGAGTCCAACGGTTTAACAAACATGGAAAAAAGTTTTGTTTTTGTTTTTTACATCACAAAAGAAATGGACGGCGTACAATAATGGTGTTATATCATTTGCAGTAAGGTGAATATTGCGCGAGATTAAAATAACAACTTTTGTAAAATAAAATGTACTCTCTACTAGCTGTCCCGCCCTCGGCGTTACCCGTGCCAATTATTATTTTACCCATTTTTGTTTTTGACCGTGTCAGAATTGAATGAAAACAAATAGATGGGGGAAGTTGGTAGTCCACCTTCGGCGGACTAAATGTGTTCTATTGTGAAATTTGAATAATGTAAGTAATAGTAATAAAAATAAATGTAATAGTTTTCTTTTCCGTGGCAACCAAATTATCATCCGTAACACCAAGGTAACCCATAAATGAACAAAAATGAAGAAATAAGCAATTGTATATTCGTACTGAATATACCTAAAAACCCCTTTTTACCCCTTTAGGGATTGAATAATCCCTATATATATATATAATATATAATGCAGTACACGCGTTCTCCCACTGCCGAGCGTCCCTACTCCCCGATAGGTTATATTAGGTAAGGTCCCCTACATACGGAGCTACTCAAAAGAAACTAAACTGGATCGTGATTTAAATTAGCTATCGATTACTAACGCGTTGGTGTGACTGAGGTCCGCAAGTCTACTGAAAAGTGATCGAAATCACTAGTTTATTCTGTTGACTGTTTGGTTATGGAAATAGGACCTGCATCAGCATTTTTCAACACCACAGATAATTCCAATGACGAAGAAATGATGATTGTATATTACTATTACCATAACTAAATAAATAGAAGACGAAGAAAGGTTCATCTATATTCTATATATCAACGAAATGTTTAGTAAAATTGTATAGAACGGGGTGTTTCTCTACTTCTTCCATCAACTTTATGTTAATTGTTTGCTCGTTCTTATTTTTATTTATCCTAATAGAAGAAAATTAGAAAAAAAAAGTTCTACAAGAGTACATGACGCAACTTGGAAGTGACTCGACAGTTGAATCACTTGGAACTGATCACCAATGCGTTAGTAACTGATTATTAACCAGTAGTTACTGGTTAATAGACGCCGTCTGTTGTGTTTCATTGAATAACATACGTTGTGACTTAAAGCGCTCTAATTAGTTATTTGCTTTAATAATTAGTTTCTAATGAATAGCTCCTTGTATAAACGGCCTCAGGCTTCATTTCCTTTGAAATTTCTTTCCCTCAAAATTCGATGTTTGGATATTTTTGGTATGAAAATCATGAAAAAACGTCACAACAGAACACTTTCTACCTATTTGTTTTCATTGAATACCAACACGGCCAATACCAAAAAATAATAAGGGGTAATAAATTGTATTTTTATAAAAAAATAATAAAAAATTTACACCGACAAAGACGGATGGGACAGCTAGTTATGAAATAAAAACAGTCACCCACGGACCACTACCCACCAACCCACCCACCTAAAAAATGTCTGGATTAACACTTGCCATACGTGTTCGGCGCCACTGACCCTCCCCTACGTCTCCTGTCTAAATTATAAACTGTTATAACTCATAAACGGTAAATTTGATACATTTGAAACTGTGATTAGCAGGGAAGGGGATAACTATTTAAATTCCAAATTAATATTCATATCAGGTATAAAAAGAAGGAATAAAAAATTTAAAATTGTCTTTAAAAAAAAGTTTTAAATAATTCCGTAATAAAAAAAAAAAAACATAAAAAAGATCGTTTTAATCCTCCAAAAAATGTATTGTTTCTTAGTAAAAGAAATACCTTGTATATTCAGGGTGATTCTTTCACCGTTGAACATTTATTATTTCACAACGTATAGATTTTTTTTAAACAAAATTGTTTAAAAATTTTAGTATAGGTTACCATTTGAAAATCAAATTTTGGTAGTCGTTTCAGCCTCGAAAATAAGGATGATAAAAAATAATGGTGATGTACCATTTTAGATCTGCTCGTTTCTTAAATTGTCAAAACGTTTGTTTTTTTTTTAAAAAAAAGTCTATACTCTGAGAAATAATGAGTTTCAACAATACAATAACCACTCTGTATATATATAAATATGCCATTCAACGAATGATGTGTCTACGTTATTGTTTAATATCATTTTTTTGAACTTATTTAATTCTCTAAAATAAAACATTTTTATTTTCATCAACGTGGCTTCTTTTTTTTTTTAAAATATTTTTATACTCGCTGTTGTTGTGTTTCATTATTGTTAATATCATTGTGGTTATAACACTGGATGTGTCGGAAATATCACAGTTTTCCCGTCCAGACAATTTTTCATTTGTCCCACTCCTGTTTAAATGTCTAATCGCGAATAGGTAAAATCAATTTGAATTATTATAATAATACCCAAAATATATACGCAGCTCGGTAAAATACGGAACAGTCATTGTGAGGCACGCACAATGTGTATAATTATACAACACAAAAGAGCACCGTGAAAGTTTTACACACAAAAAGACGTTTTATAATAATTCGCGTTTCGTTAAACTCGCAACTATTATAAAATTTATATCCGTTCATTAATTTATTGTTATTATTGGTGTTGTTTGTTTTTTGTTTTTTTTTTTTTGTCGTGAACAAAGGTCAACAAGAGAAATGACAAATAATTATAACAAAACGATTTAATACCTTACGCCGATACCGTATATAATAATGTAAGACGTTTCGCGTATATAAGCCAACAGGTACCTATTGGCCAATTATAATAAATTAGTTTCGTCCGTTTTTGAACAAAGCCAATTTTGTGGATCGCCGACACGATAAAGGCTAACGGTAAAGTTTCACACACACACACACACACCTACACGGCTTTATTTTGTTTCCAACGTGTCCGACTACACGAGGTTTAGGTACCAATACGGGACTTTTTGCGTACACTGCGAAATGAAATCTATAGGTACATTTAACCTTTACGCACTAAAATAAATTTCAACTTATAGCTCGGTATATACTGCGTAATATATTTTATAGTATACCTATTATATACAGGGGATAAGATAAATTTAACTATAATAGCCGAACGCCTATTTCACTTTTTTCCTTCTTTATTTCGACTCCTCGGGGTTTCAAGATTTCGGATTTCCGTTTTTTTTTTTTTTTTTTTTTTTTTTTTTTTTTTTTTATACCTATTCTCTTTATCCGGCGCGGACCTCGTCTGAAACGGATTTCCGGTTAGTTATTCTACGGAAGTTATAATAAATGATACGTAAAACGTGCGTATATATATTTACGCCCAGGTCGGAACGGGTAGTACACACAATTTAAAATTCGTCGAATAATACTAAATACTACTGCAGTTTGCCCGGTGCTCGAGAGAATACGATATTTTCGTAAACTATTATATCGATTTGGGTTTATTATTACCGGTGTGTTTTTATTGTTATTATTTTTTTTTTATGGTTTTCAATCAGTCAACGGTCAGTTTAACTGAACCAAAATAGTAGAGACGAGGACGGAGGAGAAGAAGAAGGGCGATTTTCTTTAGGGACTTTTCTAGCTTGTACACTTACTCACTAATCACTACTAAACTGTATTTCTCCCTCGGTAATCACTAATCGGTGTATAGTCGTATGTACCTGGAAATAATGAGCGAATAGTAAATCCATATTACTTATACTTAATTCGTGTACGCATAGTCCAGCGAACCCAATAACAATAACAACGATATGATAATAAGAACAAATTCGAATTAATAATATTACATTAAAAGTATAATAATCTTCGTTGAGCGGACGTTGGCGTGAGCGTTTATGAGCACAATAACAATCTGGTTATTGGGTGGAAAAATCGTTTTATCACGAAATGAATTCGATGTTTATCGTAAAACAGTATACGGCGGAAATTAAATTGCGGCCGACTTTATAGATACCTGCAGGGAATGTTAAATATCCATTAATTAAAAAAAAAAAAAGTCACGATTTGTTTTAATTACAATAAATTCACTTTATTTCTATCTTGAATATCTGTCAATCGTTCGAGTGAATGGAAAATCGAAATTTCATTACATCCGGCTATTAGCTGGTATATAATGTTCTTGTCTCTGATTTTCATAACGCGAAAACATGTTCTAAAAAATCATTTTGAAGAGCACAAAACGAACGCCAAGCCGGTAACTTTTTAAAAAGTTAAAATATTAAATAATAAATTACTTCTTATAGTGATTTTTAACTTAACTGGTTAAAAAAAGAAAAAACAAATAGAAATTACTGAATTACTTCTTTTCAAAAATAACGCTAACTTAACTTAGTCAATTTATTTAAGCGCGAGTCGTGCCGAAAAAGTATTTTACAAATTTGTCGTATAAAAGTGTACGTCTATTTTTTCGACGAAATTCACTTGAACATCACTATCGCATAACAAGACGGGCAATGGGCATGATGTAGTCTATGTACACGAGCCTGGTACGGCCATTCGACGAGTACGAAATGCGTTTATGATTGCAATTTTTTTTATTATCATTATTAAACTTTTATCCATCAACTCTCGACTCGGTGTCATTATTTTAACCTGAGAATCGGTAGCCCGTCTCGATCGCTTAAATCCGTTTGCATTGCAAAACTAACTATAACTCGGGCGTCGTTATTCGTTCAGGACAGTTCGACTTGAACCAGTCAAGTAGATTGGTTGACTCGCCGGCCGGATTCCCGCGGAAACGTTTCGCAAATAATTTAACTCGCGCGGACGTTGGATTTCGAACGCCGCGGACGATTGCGCCGAAATCGTATTTCCCCGCGCGTTAAATACGCCGCGACGTCATCTCTAAACCTCGCGTCGTTACACGGCTGTTACAGACGAAACGGCCGGTCGACGGAATAATCGTACGTTCAAGTCGGCGGCGGTGGCGCGTGAATGCCGACGGAAACGGAAAAACGACGAGAAAAAAAATGAAAAAAAAAAGAAAAGAAGAAGACCCGCGAACGTCGTCGTCGATTATTCGAATCCCCGCGCGCATTTGAAAGAAAAACATAAAAGCGAAACGTCCGTGTGTACATGTATGGACGGTTGTCGCCGGCCGTTATCCTTTCGATTTGTCCGGCGCGAGCGTTCGCCCCGGTCCGCGCGTCCCGCCCGCCGCGGCGGCACCGCGAACCGTACGCGGCGATCGGCACCGCGGCGCGGTACGTAAATGTCGCTCGCGCATTTGCGGTGACGCACGCGCCCGGACCGCGGTTTATGTCGACCGTGACGCGGACGCGTGTCCAACAACCGACGACGGCGGCATTAAGAAATCCGTGTGCCGTAATAATAAATACGGTCCTTTTTCGTTTGATTAATGTAATCGTACAACGTTCCGTCGGACGCGTACGAATTCGGCCGAACGCCGCGCGACACGCGTACGTTTTAATGGAATGCATTATTCATCGGAGCGCCGAACCCGACGACACCCCGCGCCGCCGCCTCTTCGACCGTATTGCGCGCGCGAGAGATTCATTTTTTATTTTTTTCGTTCCCCCCGTACTTACGTCCGAAAATCGCCCGGACCCGAACGCGCGCGCCCCCGGTGTCCGCGGTGAAAAACGCGGTCGAAATCGAGAGAGTTCGCGGCCTGTGTCGTCCGCGACGGTACGGCGGCCGGCTTTACGGTGTACCGTCGACACGCGTGCTACACGATGACGCGGTCGCGACGCGCGGCGAACACCGCGCCGCCGAGGTTTCGGCGTGTTACTCGGGACACTGACCGCCCCGGGAACGGGATTTCGTTTTGAAAACGTTGTTGCGCCGCGGACCGCCGTGGCGATTTAATGGATTCGGATAGTTCACCTCCCGGCTGATAACAGAAAAACGAAAGTCCGCGGGAGAAACGAATTCAGTTTTTCTCCCGTTCAATCTACCCGATGCGGTCTGCATAGCGAATCCACGGTTATTTCCGATCAAGTTCCGACACGAACTGACGAAGCGACCGGAGTCCCTCCGACGCAGCGATATTGGAATTGTTTAGACTATGTTTAATATATATATATATATTTTTTTTTCTTTCCTTTTTGGACGTGCAGGATAGAACCGCGTGAATAATAAAGGATAGACCATAGCCTAAAGTTTTTTGCACTTAAATGATAAGAAACTGCAATGCGATTTGTATAGGGCTCGGTAACACAATAGGCTCGATAATTCGCCTCGGTCGGTCGCTTTTTCGAGGACCGTACCTCCCTCGAGATTAAAACCGCCATGTCCTATCCATTCCCGTATTATCCACGAATAATTGACCCCGTCTCGCCGTACGGCATTTCTGACAACTATAGGTACGACTGTTGGTGTACGCTACCGCGCTCGGTGTATCCGCCCATTCGAAACAAAACATTTTATCCGGATAACTTTGCGGTCAAATACGATGATTTGATTTGATTTTTTTCTTCAAACACGAGCCGCGTAATAATAACATACACTGCACATCTGTAACATCACCCGGCGACTACACGCCCGCACATCCTGCGCTTATTGTTTTTGAGACGAATATATTTCGTTGTCGTTATTCGACGACTCTGCAGTTACGCGCGGACATCGGAGCACGTCAGTTTAGGGTCATCCCTGTAAGTACTGCGGAATCCAACGCATCGTAACACGGCCCGTTACGCTTATCGAGGGTAAAATAACAATTGAAAACCTCATAACATTATACACGTACTTACTGTATAAATACGGAATAAAAAGATACGTATCAATGATATACACGGATATGTATTTCGTATCAAAAACACGGCTTAGAATTAATAATCAACTTTTCGTGATCTATCTGTGCAATACGGTTTTAGGATACGTACCTATTTGCGTCGAGCTGTTGTTTCTTTTTTTTTTTTTTTTTTTTTTTTCATCTATTATTCCCATTAATAATTATTTTAGACACACGTATGTGTTCAAAGACCGACGTTTTCAATTTTAACACAAATGTAACTCGTGTATTTTATTTATTTGAGTAAACTGTATGATTTTCGAAAACATGCGACACGGTGTCTAAAATAATACAAACTGTCTAGAGCGAAAGTCTGTCCGGTGACTGTAATGTGTTACCGGGTACCATCTGTAATATTAAAATAACATTTTAACCAAATAAAAATTATTCCTAATTATTTAAGAGCGTATAAATCTGTGCACAAGCGCCAATGTCGAAAACTCCGAAAATCGAAAAAAAAAAAAGTCTATATAACGGCGACCTTATTGTAATACATTTTCTATACTTACCTTTTTTGCACCGAGTCAATCGTCGTGCAAGACTAAAAACATAAAATAACATCATTTTAACGCGGTTTAATAGCGTATTATCGTCACCGACGATTATTGCGAGCAAAACAATTGCCGTTTAAAATGAAACAAAAATCGAAATTTAAAAATATCTCTAATAATAATAATAATAATATCGTAATTTAATAGTGTACTGTCGTCTTTTTCGATATGCGGTCGAATTTTCGTAGCGTTTCCACTCCGAATTTTAAATTTCAATTTAAACTTCTTTACTCGTTTAAGATTCTGATTGTAAGTGCACCGTGCGCGCGTGTTCTTATAATATTGCGGTGCTATCCGCAAAGTTTAGTTTTCATAAAAGATAATTTACATTTATGTGTATACCGACTGCATATATAGATTTATAGTGCGATTCCGTGTAAACAGAATCGATTTTTTCGTAACACAAAGTAAGGCGTATCCAATAGCATTATATGCCTATTACTATACATATATATATAGGCATATAAATACATGTTTTTTTTTTTTTTCAATATTGAGACTTTACGAGTTTCGATGAACTTTGTCTTTAAAATTAAAATATGCGAAATTCAATATGTATACTCGTACCCACAGAATATTATAATGTAGGGGCGTATAATATCTATCCATAATAATTGTCGCTGTAAAAAAGCAAAATATTATTAAACTTATATAAAAAGGCTGTAGCGTATACGAATATAATGTATTAAAAACGAACCGTATTATTAGTTATGCTGTACAATCAATATAAACCTTGCATTGAATTTTTCGAACGTAATCGAGAAGTAAAAAGAACTTTATTTACGTGAAACCTAATGAACAATTTTTTAAAAAAAAATATAAAATAAAAATGCTCAAATAACTCCGAAAACGCTAGAAAGCTTTTATTTTTAAAAAAACTGTATCACGTCTTGAAAGAGCTAATAATAATACGAGAAAAAGACTAATATACTTCGCACGATGGATGGACCACTGTTGTAGGCAAAAAGTTGGAAGCAATTATTTATACGCAACGATAAACGACATTACTAACGAAAAACTATTTGGTTTCAAAAATGTATAGATTTCCTAATTTTTATGAAAACCGCTCAGAAATCCAAAATAAAACTTTCATAAATTACCACCCACCCAGATAAAATTTCCTTTCAGAAAAAATACTACACTAAATTATCGGAGCAAGATTTCATGTAGAAAAATTGTTCACAGATAAAAACAAAAAAAACCTTAATTGTAAAACCAATACATCCCTCGCTAGGCTCCGTATTTAAAACAGAATCGAAAATAAACAGAAACCGTGGAAATATTCCCCGGTTTTCGCGATCATTAATAAATCTACGGAAACAAAAAAAAATGACCAAAATCGTCCACAGTTTTTTACCGGAAACCATGTCCGGTGTTGACGATCGGAGCAAGATTTCCGTAGCAGGAAATATTCAAAGAAAGAGAGAAAAACATCTGTGAAATATGTTCAAACGCGGTAAAAATCAATACATTTCTCTCCGGGCTCAGGATCTAAAAGGAGGAAAAAACTAATCAAATACGGATTTATAACGAAATAATCTGGAGAGGAAAAAACAGTGAAATACCTAATGTAAAGATGATATTATATCGCATTCATTTTGTATCAGTGTGTGTACAGTGAAACGTTTCTTCGTCAAAAGTATACGAAGGGCGAGAAGATATATTATTATTATGCCCCGGCATTTAGACTCGGAGTTCAACGGACCGTTCAGGTCGTTGAAAGCTTTTTAAATACAACACAAGCCCCGAGACAACATTGCATATATACAGTGGTGTAGTTTTTTTTTTCTTCTCACAAAATCAAGTGGCGGTTAATGACTTGTTGGTTTAAAACAACGTCCAAAGATAACGGTAATTGATACTCGGGGGTTTTTAACGGATACGTTTTTTTTTTTTTTTTTTTTAATTTTCGACTGCTAAAAAGTTAAAATAATATTTAACACGGTTTTACGTATAATCTGTTAGTAAATAACGATGGAACACACGAAACGCGTAACCGTGTACTTTTTTCTGCATTCGACGGGTAATAATAACATAAGCAATGTTATGTACGGCAAATGTATGAACAAACGACCTAATACGCTCCTACCATTGTTGATTTACGTTAAATAATCATTTTCAATTTTGTGGGTATTATGGCCTCGTGGACCACCAAAATGTCTCGCGGACCATAGGTTGGGGACCGCTGACATTAACAGATTCAAATCAAATATTAACGCGGAAAAAATGTTCGCGTACCATGTCCGTAGTCGGTGACGGATATAGAGTTGTTTTTTTTTCGGGGGGGGGGGCACAATTTTTCATGTTAATTTTGAACAACGAACACTAAACATAAAATACAGACAAGATTACAATCGAGTATCAACATTAATATCCACTATCGTAATAATTATTTGTCTAACCGCAATTTGAACGACGATTTATAACCGCTATCAATTCATGTAACTACGAGTGTAACGTAACTGTCGAGGGGGGTGGGCCGAGAGCGCCCGGCCTACCCCCACCCCCCCTCACGAATCTTCCACTCAGCCCCGTACAGAAATATCTCTACGGTAAAATGCACAAATTCGTAACACATTTCTATGCAGGCGTCGTGAAAATCTAACGGAAAATAGAGACCACCGGTGCAAAACGATAGCGAAATTGGGTACGGTTATAATTGTTTTTGTTTTTTTTTTTTTTTTTTTAATTATCTTACGCGAACTGTACACAGTCGGTGAATGTAAACATTACGCCGCGTCCGCCGCGCCGCGCCTACGGCGACGATCAATTAGGCAGCCTATAAATTTAAATTATCGTTTCGACTCGTAAATGTTACAATAGGTGTGTTAACATACGGCCGGCGAAATTTTAACGCGCGAAAACACGCACGCGAGCGCACGAAAATAATCAAAAACAAAACGTTCGAACGAGACGGTACGTCCGGAGGGCTGGTGAATATTTCACGGGACTTCGAACGTATAGGAACGCGCGGCGCTGTTGTCGGCCGATATTTTCCGCGGGAAATTCTATTATTCATTAAACGGTTTCGTTGCCGAGGCACCGCGAAACGCCCGTGCGACTGCACGTCAGACTTCCGCGTTTACACGCGGTACGCGCCCGGGCACGGCCGTACGTCGGATAACGATTTATTTCGCGCGTAACGTTTTCATAAAACTCATCCGGACCCGGTCACCGGCGTAAATACAGTCGCGTTATTAAAACGCGTTTTACCGCACGCATCGTGAAGTCTACGCGTTTCACATAATGTCAGCGGCGGATTTACCGGTGGCGACGCGGTAGGGTGGTCCGGGAGGGTCCAAACGCAAACGCCGATATAATTTCAATAAAAAAAAAACAAACAAACAAAAAAAAAACCCCGGGCGTCTACGCGCGTGCATTTGTATACGTTCGAATTTACATTTTGTATTATTTTCCGGGGATAGAAAAAATGTTGAAAATCCGCCGCCGCATTATAATACTCGTATATTGTGGGCGCAACGGTTGAATTATTATGCCGAATACATTACACACAGCATTAATCGCGCATAGACGTTTTTGAAAATTGCGGACGAATAATAATTCGGGGATAATACGCTACGAGTCCGTCGGCATATGTATAGGTATATGTACGCACGCGTATAAGTATACCCGAATAATTCGACCCGAAAATAATAACAGAACCGTGTGGGTGTGTAAAAAAAAAAAAAAAAAAAAAGAAAGAAAGAAAAAAAGTTCAGCGGTTTTTTTTTTTTTTCATACTTATTTTAAATTTAGGTTAATATTGTTATTATTTTTTTTTTCCCGCGCGATTTTCATCTACCCCCTCTTGAGAACGGTAAAGTGCGCACTCAAACGGCGATGAAGTCACTCGATATTATGTTGTATTGAAAAACCGCGAGACTTTATTTTAATCAGTCGAATCTCACCGGCGCACGCGTACGCGCGCAACAATATTTAACATTATTTCTCTTCGACTAAATAATGTCTAACCTAACCACCGAGTATGCAGAGTTCGACGTTTATCCCGTTTCAGTTAACGTCTACGGCGGAGTGCTGCATGAAAACTAATGCGCGTTGCAAACGTCCGTGAAGTTGACAACGAGTTCGAAATATTAAATTTGAATGTTTTCCTAGAGAGATTTTTTTTTTTTTTTTTTTGAAATAATAATTGTTTTGTATATTATATTTTCTATGCTCTTTTCGCGTATATTTTAGATTCTGAGCGGCACAAAGAAGTTTATGATGTTTTTAGAAAGGTGTTTATTTTTTTTTTGCGGACAACTTTTCTAGCTGAAATCTTGCTCCGATTTTTGGGCGTAGTTGTTTTTTCTAAAAAAAAAATCTGACTGGATGGGTATACTTCAGGGAGGTGTTTTTTTGATTTTCCTAGAGGTTTTCCCATTAAATGGGAAAAACCGCGAAAAACATGGGATAACGGGAAAATCGGTACAATATTAAACACATATTATTAAATATAATATATAATGCCTATTTAATTATTTTACCATAATACTACTGCACATATATATTGTTGACAAAGCAACACTATCACTCCGCTCAGAATCGTTTTTTCGTTAGCAATGGTTTATCGTTGCTTATAGATATAAATGAAATAACCTTATGTATCCTACCTCCCTATTTTCCCACCTACAGTGGCTACTATAGTGGCTGCACTCATGTGCGAATTATGTCAGTCTTTTTTACTTTTTGTGATTTCATAAGCCACTGCCGAAAACTCGGATTTTTTAAGTCCCGTATGATTTACGTCACGTCGGCCATCACAGGAGGCCCAAGGAAATGAAAATTCGCGAGTGTAGTTTTAAATGGATTTAAAAGTTCTAATGGGAATTTTGAAAGCACTTTTTTTTTATTTGTTTCAATGTTTTTTTTATATCTTTTAAGCAATTATTTCAACACTTTAAAGTGTTTGAGAGCTTAAAATGAAGCTTTTATGGGGTTTTTTTTCGATGATTTGATCGCTATAAGTCCCGAACATTGGCTATAACTAAGTTTATGTTTTATACGATTTGTTTTTTCTTCAATACTCCGATTGTGTAACTCGCACATACCGATTTACCGATTGGTTACCATATTTTAATGATTTTGTAGAAAAATTAATAATAGTAGGATCGGGTTCGACGAAATGTATACAGAAATTGAAATAAATTCGAGTTTGATGGGATCACCGACACAGCGGCCGGGCGTATGTATGGGGTTTCTGTACGTATTCCGCCACTAATACGAAACCGTTTCAATATTTCATGTAGAGTCCTGACAAAAAAAAAAAAAATAAGACGGCCCGATATATGCACTTGATTTCCAACGTTATAGATTCGCTTCGCGCACTCCCGAACAAAATAGCGTTGTGTAATATATACATTCGAAATCAATGATAAAAAAAAAAAAAAGCGCGTTCCGGAACATATTTTAGATTCCGTGCGCGGCCTGGCGTGGAATGTATTGGTTTTGCTAAGAAATGCGCGTGTTTTTTTTTTTTTTTTTTGTTTTTATTATTATTATTCTAGTTTCTCTCTGTCTTCCGACACGACTCGCTCCGATCATCAACGCGTCATCTGCGAGTGGTATACGGTGCCTGTAGGATCCAACGCCGTTAACAGAATTTTCACCGTTTTAAAAACCGATAACTCGTATAATACCTATGCTCGGCCCGCGGGGAACAAGGAAAGACGATTTTTTTTTAAATTACTATATAATACAATGTCATCGCTTTCTGTTTATACTCCGGTCTAAATTGCATACAAACGTGCGCATATTCGAAATTTAATTTGGGCTTGTATTGAAAATTATAGACAATTGACTAGAGCCCTTTTTCCCTAAAGCAATAATATATGTTACGTTTACCGATTATTTTCATCGAACGAGTAAAATGTGTAGATATGTATGTGCGTTAATTAATTATTATAATATTAAATTCACCTACGCAATCATGAATTGTTGCCCCGCTTGAATTTCGCCACGAAATATTTTATATAATACCTACCTACATAATAATATTATTGAGTTTAACGATATAAAACTAAAGAAAGTTAATTTATTAATTTTTTTTTTATGTTTTTTTTTTTTTTTTTTTGAAAAATCCACTAATTAAATTGGGTTATTGGGTTCGCCCTGCTCTGGCTGCGGCTCGTTATTATATCATACGTCCCGTCGCGGGTCGTAAAAAATGATTGTTCTCCTAGCTCTCCCCTCTTCTCCGTCGACTTAATTTCTATTATTTTATTTTAATACGTTTAGAACATAAATTTTACCGGTGTAACGTTGAAAAAGAAAAATAATATCGTAAAAATTTTGAAATTACGTCATAATACATACACACGCGCGCGCGAGCGAATGCCGAAAAGCCACGAATGTACGCGGCGACATGCGTAAGTATCGTAAATCGCATTTAAAATTTACATAATAAACTCAAAGCGAAAATAATATCATCGTGTTTCGAGTAAACCGTTCAAAAGCCAAAATGTGTACTATTACCGTACATACTATTACGGTATAATACAGTGTTCGTGTAACGCACACACACATGCGTTCAAATTCAATATAAACGCTTTTCTCACGGCGCAGATCGAAAATAGACGTTTGTATTTTTTTTTTTATTGTAAATAGAGAATCGCGAGCGTTATTCGGCAATCGACTCAACTCGTTTTTACGTAAAAAAAAAAGTATGTCGTTGCGATTGTTCTTTTTCTTTAATTAATATTTACGAATTGTTCTACTTGCCGCACTGTGCGTCGTAGAAAATTGTATTAAATTTTACAATAGTCTCGCGATCAAGATTGAAAATTCCGTCTAATATATACCTAACCTAACACCGAATTGAATATCCGAAAAACTAGAAAATGTAAAATGCTTTTAAATAGCTCAAAAATATTTTCAGAATATTTTGAACATTTTTCGTGTCTAGAAAATGCCAATTTAAGTTTTCCGTCAAAATGTCAAGCGTCCACGAATATGTTTAATTGAACTGCAACAAAATAACAAAACCATTATTTACATTTGTGTTTTACGTTTTTTTCCCGGCTTCACTATACTATCGCGAAAACTATACGGGAAATCGAAAAACGACTTGTCTTCCTACTTACACGCAAATAGACTAAAAATGCAACAAAAAAAAAAAAAAAGGTTTTTTAGTGGTTATTTGATTGAAGCAAGATTTCTGGTAGAAAACACAATCCGTAAGAATCCAAGTAATGCAATCGTACGCCGTAAATTCGTTCTTTATCATTTTACGTCCTTTTCATTTTCATTTCCCCCCCCTCCCAAGTATCATGAAAACCCCTCGAAAAATACACGCAGGCGTAATACGGTAAGTGTACATTTGTAAAATATATTATTTTTTACGAAACGAAAACGTTAAGTTTGGCGGATATTCGATATTTTCATTACGTTTGAGCGTTAAAACTTTTACTTTTCCACCGTTACGATACGAGAACGAAATATTATAACTTTCCCAGAACGTGACCTCCGTCAGTGGTTATTATCTATTTTCGCGTATCCGGGAACCGATTCGGACCGCAGTAGAATATAATCTCGCGCATGCGCAATAATGTTTATCGGAAACAATATTCGCGTGACCTCGACACTCGCAGTTGAAAACCCCGCCGGAACAAATGTGACGGACGGATTTCAGAAGAGGTGCTCTTACGGAGAAAACCGAATAAATATTTCGGAGTTGAGTTGCTGTTTCTATATTTAAATGCGCGCGTGAATATTGTATTGCGGGAAAATAAACACGTCTCGGCATAAAAAAAAAACAAATATTGACAGTATTCCATTTTTCGGTTATTCAGTCTATGTACGGTTATTATATTATTATTTTTTATTATTTTTTTTTTTATATAATACGTGGATTTCTACGACGGCGTTTCGCCTTGTCTGATATCTGGAACCGTCGCCACTTGAGAAAACCGTCTGGCGTTCGAGTGTTTCGAACGTGCGTGGATCATTAGCGCGAAGTCGTTCACCAATACCGAAATCAAATAATTCAGAACAATGCCGAAATTTCAACGGCAGATTCTCCGTAACCGTCAGGTAGACGAGGGTTTTGTTTGATGGTTAAACGATCATTTAAATGTTTCGCTGTTTTAAAACACACGTTACGTCAGTGAACGTATAATATCATGTTCGTCCAATAGTATTACATAGCGGTTTATAAAGATATTCGAATTGAATGTAATAGTTCAAAATACACAAGAAAACAAATGTGTAAAAAATTAAAATCATGTTGGATAACATTGAATTAAACTGTAGTTATGGTGCCAATTTTTCTTGCAAAATATATTTGATTGCTTATTACAGAAAAAAAAAATGGGTATAATTTATAAAACGTTAAAATAGTATGCGCTGTCTCGGTTTGGCCAAAATGACGTATCAATGTATTACAATAACGTTACTCAGAACGAAAACCGTGTTGTTTAAGTTGGAATCGGAGTTTGAACGCTGATAACAAAGGCTGAGGGTAAACGAAGGCTGTTTTCTTCTAAACAGAAAAAAAATTGTCGTACAAAAAAGTTACAGCTATTGAAAAACAAAAACAAAGCAAAATGTTTGAAAATTGAATTACTACCACCGTGTTAGACCGGGCTTTATGCCGGTATCCGCCTTGAGACGACGCAATTGAAACAAAACCGAAACTTTGTGTTTTTGTGGCGAAACCGAAACATTTTTAAAGCAATTGTGTTTTTCCCAACAAATCGTTCGAGTTTTTAAAAACAAAGTCATGTCCCAAGCGGTATCGGTAAACATCAAAAGGTTTTTTTTTTTTTTGTTTTTGTTTTTGTTTCGGCGAACATTGCCGAACGTGTGTGAACAGTATTTTAAAAATAACCGACAAATAAGTTAGCGTTTCGGGATTTCAGAAGTAGTGCGAGAGTGCTAGTTCGACGTTCTCCATTTAAACCGACATCATCATCCTGTGGGTCCATTAAAAGTTTAGATACACCTTGTGCGTACCATTTTTTTTTCAAAGGGTGACCTTACCGGAACAACGTCTTTTATTTTTATTTTTTTTTCCCCCGTTGTTGCAAATAATTAATATACCCAGCATCCGTCGTCTTCAATACGTTTTCCCGTTTTCCGCATTTTAATTTGTGTTAATTTACTACAAACTAAATTTCACTAAAACTTTACTGAATATTACTTTATATTATGCTTTTATTCACGTCCGAATCGGTCGAACTTCGGTGACTGAATGAATATCGGATCGTTGAAAATGAGTTCTACAATTTCGAAACAAACTTGTTTGGCGTGTGTGGACAAGATAAAAAACATAACAAAACATGAGCAAAATGTTTGAATTTTGTTCATACGTTGTTTAATATTTTAGTCAACTATAGTATGTTTTGCTTGTGTTTGGTTTTTTCAAACTGAAAAAAAGTCGAGTTTGTGTATTGTTTTTGTTTTGTTCCTATGTCATCCCAGTGTGGACCCGACATAAGAGCGGTGGTGTCCGAATTTTAAGACAATGCGGACTACTATAATAATATAGACAAATTTCGATAGGTCGGAATCGGATCACGTCGATTTGCCCGGTAAATCACGATTCCGTAAGTTTTATCTTTTTGGGGACACGATTCCGTTCGCGTTTGATCAAACAACGGACTGTAAAAATGACCCCAAAAACAACACGGTTACAAACGATTTTCTAGGCATTATTGCCATTTATTATTCCAAGTGATCTATTTGAGTGAATCATCTCGGAACGTATTCACTTTTTCCGGAATTTGTAATTTGTTTTCCAGAACATCTAAAAAAACAAACTGCTCAACAGTTTTATATTTACGTTATTTTTTTTTCAACATTATTTTCGGGGATGAAACCGCTACGCATTATTAACACACCGCACGTCATACCGCCACACAAATGATACTCCACTAATCTCTTACCAAAACTCAAAAGTGGAATATCTCGTCAACAGATCGTCTGAAATCAAAAATGCCAACAATAACATTTATTTTAACTAATATACTCCGTCTATTTATGCACTCATTAACATAGGTTGCCATTTAAAAACAAAAAAGTAGGTAACAGTTTTACCCCCAAAAATAAAGGTGACAAAAAACTAACATATATAAAAAAAAAAAAAACAATTGTAGAGTTGCTTGTTTCTTAAATGTTCTAGAAAAAAGCTAATACTTTCCGAGACAATGACCTACTTAAATGGATCACCCGATTTATTATTGTCAATTCATTTAATTTTCTTCACTAATAACGTTGTAAAAAAAAATTCGATGAACTCGCGTAAGTCTCTTGTTGCGTTTCCTTCAGTACTGATATAATCGAATGAACAACGCGGACTATGAAACTAGGCATTTATTAATTTATAGAAACTCTCCGATCCATTTATTGAATTTGAAAAATATCGTGGAACACCAATAAAAAAAAAAAATAATAAACGAATACAAAAGGTTATAGTTATTAATAATTTATAACCGAGTCAAATAGACAAATGCCTACGTAACCTTATGGAAACCTGACAAAATCGCACTTGAACCTTAGGTACAAAACGTACGGAATCGTGTTGTACTCGATATTTTGCGGTTGACTATGATTTTCTTTTTGTTAGACGTTATTATTATTTTTTTTTTATTGTTCTCTCAATGACGGCCATTCGATAACGAATTTAATAACGGGGAACAACAATAAACGAGACGCGATTATCGGTCGTGTCGCCGTAAAAAAACGTTTATTCATTATTATCTCATGGCTATTGACCTTTTTTAATATATATATATATATTTTTTACTCGGAACAAACCAGTCTCGCTGACCGCCGCCGATTTACCGAGTACCGAAAAAAAGACGTTGCGCAAGCATTTTTTCCAAGGAATAATAAATTCCGGGCAATAAAGGCCGGTGGCCGGACGGACCAACAACGGGCGGTCGACGGAAATAGCGGGCGATAATGTTGCGCCGAGAGCGGTCGAACGAACGTTCGATTCGCGACGATAACGCCAACCGGGATCCGTCCGCAACACACCCAAGCCGTTCGGCATCGCCACGCAGACGCGTCGTATCGTTACGGCGCGCCCGCGTTACACGTACGTACGCCCCTCGCGCGAACGTCCGCAGTCGGCGCCGGCGGGACGTCCGATCGGATCGACGGCGATACGGTACGCGCGGCGCAGCGTAGACCGCGACGGATGTCGGCGGCCGGCCGAATCGTACGTCGCGGACGCTCATTACGACAATAACGACAACGGCGCGGCACGGTGGCGTTCGGCGAGGAAGAATAACGACCGCCGCGTCGCCGTTACGCGATTTGTGTACGCCGTCCGCCGAGTATCGCGATCGGTCGGTCGGTCCGTCGGCGACGGGACTGTCGCCTGAGCACGGGACGCGGCCGTCGACTGCGGGCGGCCGGACCGCTACGAGCCGGGGGGCTCGCGACGGACACGCGACCGGCCCCGCGGTTCTCCCGCCGAATATCTCGTGGAACCGAAACGGCCGTCTGCGAGTTGCCCGGTGCGGCCGCAAGAACTGATCGATTGTCGACCGTACGTTTTGATAAACTGATATCGAACGGTACGGTTTCCGCGGCGACGGATTTGCTATTCGTTTCGTCCACAACGGTCTATCTGAATGCGTCTTCGACCGGGCTGTTCGGAAATCGAACCGGACAATTTCAAACGGTCGGACCGTACCGAATATCCCCGGTGGTCCGATTCGATGCCGACACGGCGTTCTGCGGTGGGACGCGGCGGCCCTGTTACGGATAATAAAAATTCTAATTCTAATTCTCGTCGGCGGGTCTCGAATCGTGAATCGGTAACGGCCGTCAAAGTTAACCCGACCTAACATCTTTACTATTTTAATGTCCGAGTTTGATAAAATATTTTAAAAGTCCGGTTCGGTTCGGTCGGGGTCCGACAGTTTTAAGAACGGTTCGGCTCGGCCGTAATAACCGCGGTTCGTAACGTCTCTAAATACAATTTGAAACAGTTCTAGTGGCGTAACTTTAGGCCGTCCGTTTTGATTTTGTCTCGAAAAAGGAACGAAAAAAAAAATAGGGTAAAACACGTACGAAAACGGTCGAACTGGGCTCGCCGCGCATTAAAACCGGCTCGGTCACGCGAGTAAACAGCGCCGTCTCGTTTCGCAGACGGACGCGGGCTGTCCGGTCGGCCGAAATATTTTATTCATCGCAAACGGTCGCGCGAATCTCGACAAACCGTTAGCGACGTCCTGCGTCGGACGAGTACCACCGAAACGGTTCCGCCGCGAAACGCGCGCGTCTCGACTCGCTGCGTTTGCGTATGATCGAACGGCCGAACGGGTATCGCCGGGACGTTCGAAATAAAACGTTACGAACGATATACGGGTTACGGCGCGCGGCTATCGGAGGACGTCGAACGCCCTAATGTACGCGTAATGGATTCGACGTTTAAAAACGCATAACGCATCGACGTTTTCGTGTTTCCGTCGTAGCGGACGATAGGTCCGTGCGGCCGACTTGATTATTCGCGAACGGCGTGCGCGCGGAGAAAACAAACAAAATAAAAGACGACCGCGATATTTCGCGTGCGGATTACGCGCGGGCGTTTTTCAAACGTTCCCCGTGCGGAGACGCGCGTTCGTTACGTCGTGGACTCGCCCAATCGTATTGTTTCCACAACCGTTGAAAATGCGGTTTTCGCGAAACTCCGGTTTAAACCGTAGCGGACCGGACCCAATGTAACGTTGTCCGGTAGCGTGACGGCGCGGCTCTGAAATCGTACAAACCGACGTGGAAAAACGAAATTAACAATGCGTAATAATAATTTCGTTAAAAAAAAAAAACTAATTGTTTTTTTTTTTTTTTTTTTTTTTTAATAAAGACAACTCGGACGTGTGTATACGAAAAACTGCGATACAAACTTGACGTATTGAAACTTCCAGAATGAACATACGATATCTATTGACAGTTTTTTAAATAAAAACGATACGGACACGCAAAAACTTCGATAACAACGTATGCATCCGAGTTTTTTTTATCGAAAATTATCGCCTTAACGCTGACAAACGATTAGTATTGTCATGCCGTTTTTCGCACGACGATTATCGCGTCTGATAATATTGTCCCGACGCAACGCCTATACAGCACCCAAATCACAATGATTATTGTAATTCGATCCCGTGCGAGCGAACCGAATCGTTGTTCGCGCGTCGTAGTAAATCGCGACCGGCGTTCAATATCCGCGTACGGCGGGCCGGTACGTGCCGGGTACGCTTATGAAACGTGCGGTTCATAGCGAGACGACAGAGAACGTTTTTTTTTTTTTTTTAAAAAGAAAAAAAAAACACTCGTTTTCTACTACTTGCCTTCGCTTGGCGTTCTTCATCTAAGGACCGTCGCGGAGCGGACACAATTGTCGGACGCGGTTGTTGTGTCGCGGCGCCAAAAATCTTTGTGCCGTCGTCGGACGCGAACGGCCTCTGTCCCTGCAATTGAAAATGACGAATTATTATTTTTTTCTCCGTTTAACCCACCGGTTTTTACCCTCCACCCCCCCCCTCCCACCTCTCCGCTCCTGCTCGATATTTAATTTAAATATCGACAAGTTCCCGCGGTTACGTGCGTAGTACGCGGATCGTTTTTAGCAAAACCGCTATAATACGTACACGGGTGGTTTGTGTAACATTTGAACGCTAAATAAACGCGGAACCGACATTTTCCTACGGCGTATGCAGTGTATAACTACAGGTTAACTGTATAATTAGTGTAGCGCGATGAGATATAAACACACTCGTCGTATTAATTTTCGAACAAACTGAATTCGAGTTTAGAGAAGTTTCCGCGGACTACTACATACTGAAAGTGAAACTAAAAGTTTATAACGTGCCTAAGAGGAACGAAAATTTAATGTTTTTATGAGCAATTATATATTTTATTATTATTTTTTTTTTTTTTTTTTTTTTTGTTTATTATTTAAAAGAATATTTCACAATCTGCGCTTGTTGCACAACGAGCAAATGCGATACTTACAAAATAGTGAATGATACAAATAGAATGGGGGGAGGCCATTTAGTGATGGAACCCGGCGAACAATTATACAGATGATACCTGGGTATACGGCAGGTATAAAGTCGTGTTCTGCCATTATATTGGCACAGATCGTTATTAGCTCCTTAGAGATTATTGAACGGAATTTTAAAATTACTCAGAGGAATTTGAAACGGGACAGGGATTATCCTGTTTATCACTCACGCAACGCTCGACGACGTATTAATAGTGTGTGATGAAAATTGTTATCGAGTAATGATTCGAACCAATAAAAATATACTAATAAATGTGATACACGGTGATTTTAAAATTCTTACAAGCACGTATACATTTTAATTAGGTACTCGGATATTTATTTTATTGCTGAACACCTCATTTGTGTAGTTCTTATTCAATAATATTGTCATATGTTAGTTTGTGAGTATACTCATATTTTATCACAACATACCTATGGGTTTGTATGTTCCAACGAGACTGTTAGATTGTATAAATCCAGATTACCCACATATTACTGATAACAGACTGATAAGAAGAAATATGACGTAAGCACTAATTACGCGTATTCAAGCCGAATTTTCACCCACCGGCTATGTATTGAAACGATAAGAGTTCTGAAAACGATTCATCGTGAAGTTTCATGGTAGGAATCCACAATAGGACTTATTTCATTTAGTAATTATCTGAAAATGATTGATAAAAACAGTGTCTCACGAATATATATATATATCAATTGTAATATATCCGGAGATAATAAAGATAATCAAATTTTGTTTTTTTTTTTTTTTTTTTACATTACTCTTAAGAATAAAAACTATAAATATTTATGTTTCAATTCATTTTTCATGTTTTAGTGAAAATTTACAAAAAAAAAAAGTTTTATTTTATTATGTTAGAACAATTTGAAGATAATCATTGTATAGAATACATTTTTTTTGAAAATGTTAAAGTTTGAACTTTTATTCTCATTCAATTTGTAATTTTTAATAATTTTTTAAAATTCAAAGAATAAAAGTTTACACTCAATTAGTCATAATAAAAAATAATTAATTGGCGAATGCAATTGCAGTCTGCTGCTGCTAATATATTTATCAGTACTTTTCTCTGTTTTTTTTTTTTTTTTTAATTATTGCGAATTTAATGAATTTAATAACTTCTATAAAATGGTCAACTTCAAATTTTTCGAAAATAATAAAATAAATAGTTATTTTCTTAGTTTTTACCAAAATTTATAAATTTAAATTCAAATGTATAATACTTTTCCCTGCAAGCAATATAAAAAAAAAAACCGAATTTGATCATCTTTATTATTTTTAGAGGATATTGCAATGGGTATATCTTTTATGGGACACTGTAAGTTACTAAAAATTATGTTTTTTAACGGGACCGTTAATAAGTAAACAATAATACTATAGGTGTCTACCTACTATAAAACAGTATAAATGTTAGGACTATGTTAAGTAACAATTTAAACATAATATAAAAGTCATTTTTTTTTTTCAGAATCTTCTCTTTAAATATACCTAATCATATCAAGTTTTCCTCGATACTGTTTAATGCTCAAAGCGCGTTTATAATATACATTATAATAAATTAATGTCGTACATAAAGGCATAAAAGCCAAAAGGTACTCGAGAATGCGTATACTTGTTAATTTGGTTTCCATTTGATAAAACATTTGTATAAACGCTGTTTGAGTGTGAATACAAAAAAGAAGGGTTTTATAACAAACAAAAAAAAAAAAACCGTTTTGTGTTAAGTACCTACGTATCTATTTAAAAGAGAGTTAACAATATAGGTAGGAAGCCAGGTAACTAATAATATTTTAGCCTGTATACAAATAATTATTTTATTTTTTAAATATTGTCCTTAACCTAATCTAACCAGTGCTGACGAGCGGGATTAGGATATACACGTTTCAAAAACCTGTCATATTTAAAATTTTTGTCAAAAATTGATATTTAAATTCCTAACAAAAAAAATACTACATTAGACTCAAATTTTTCTTGTTAAATACAAATTACGACGTATAATGGACCTCCCGTAAAATTTCCATGCATTTTCATTCGATCTAACAATATTATCTACTGAATACAAATTTTGTCAAATACTCGCAAAATAAACGCGTCTCAAAATAGCCCAAAAATCATTTTTGAACATTTTACCACGTCTAGAAAAGGCGAACGTAAGGTTTTCTGTTCCAATTTCAAGTTTCTACGAATATTTTAAACTAAATTACAACAAAAAAAGGCACCATTTTCGTATATTTTCCCCGTTAAACCTACGTCTTTTCCCGATTATTATGAAAATCCTTGAAAAATCAAAAACTAACCGTCTTTAATGCACCGACTAGAACAATTTCTTTTCGGAAAAGATACTACACTCTACACGTCGGTGCGAAATTTCTTTTCGAAATGTTGTCTACAAAATAAAAGAAATAACGGGTAGAAAAAAAAAAAAAAAAAAAAAAAAAACATCACAGTAAAACCAATAAAAGATTCTTCGCTGTGCCCCGGAATCTAAAACTTAAAATTATCGAGCGTATATCAAATGATTTTATGTCTGTCGGATTCCGCGGAACACCCTGTATGTTTACACATTTGATAAATGACTATAATACGACGCCGCGTGTGTATTACGCAAACGCTTTATTTCGTTGTTAAAAATAATTTAAACGATAATATTGTCTAAACGCGTACAGGTATCGTTCGTCTTCGAGTTACTTTTAACAATGAATCTAATTGATTTGCACTGCGTTTATCGCGTGTACCGTAAATAATTGCAATATCCGCACCAAATTACGGAATTAATGTCCACGTAGGTGTTATCGTACGCGAGCAAAGTGGAGTGTCTCAACAATACATATAATATATACACGCGAATATTATAATTTATGCAAAACGGTAAAAGGACGTTTCGTTCCCGAAAGACTGTGACATTTCGTTCTCAGCGAACTTCATCTCGAATATAAATAAAACACAATACAATGCATTTATTATGAACGAAATTCGATTTGACGTGTAGGTCGTGCTAACCGTTGGGTTGAATATTTTTCGAAACGCGAGACATTTGCTAATTAGTTGTACGTATTTACGCCCAAGAAGGAACGGATTTAAAAGGACGCGCGTTCCTTTCTATTACGTTCACTTTTCACTCGTTCGTTTTCATTTATGGGGAACCAATGTGGGCAGAAACGTATTTTGGAATTTCGTTCGTTTATTTAAAGCCATGAACGGTTTTTTTTTTTTTTTTTTGTTGCCATTCCATTTTGCTAAGACACGCCTGCCTATTTTAAATCAATTTCATAACCCTGAACATTTTTCAACATGTTAATTATTAATTGTTTATAAGTTTGTCCCCTGTCCCCGTATCATAAGGACATCTGCAGGTTAAGTGTTTATGGGATTGCGAGTTATACGGTGAAAATTCCGGTTTTCCAGACGTTCCCCCGCCTCCGATTATTAAGAAAACGGAAAAACCGAAAACGACCACGTCATTGCAGAAATCGGACGAAATCGGCTAACCCAGAAACAGCTCCCGGAGTCGACGAACGAAACGAGATTTCCGGTAAAAACGTTGTTTACGGAGGGGGAAAAAAATTATACCGCGCAATGTATACATACCTACTTATTGAATGAAAAGTTTCATATCGTTCAACTAGACAGGTACCCTGTATAGATATGATGGTATATTATATGGATGGATGATATATTTTATTATTATTATTATTTTTTTTTTTTTTACTGTTTTTACGGTACGATATTATATGGCTTCGGGAAGAAAGTTCTTCGAATTTATAGTATTTCGAGTTTTTAAGATTCCATTAAATAAGGCCCGGTATTTCTGATCGACCGTATACAATATATCGATAAGCTGTTAAACGAGATGGCTTTATGTTTTTGCACAGCGCAGTTTGATTGTCAAATAAGTACCTATGTTACGTGAATTAAAAAAAAAAAAAAATCCGTTATTCGAGAGCTTCGATAAAAGTCTCTGCGTAATATTTTATTCATCTATGGTTTCTTTGAACGGTATTATACGATTGTGTATTATACTTACCTATAACCACTATCGTTACTTGGATTTTTTTTTTTTTTGCACAAAGAAATAGCTTTTAGAGTATATATGGCTGTAGGTAATTTTAAAACCTCTAAAATGTCGTAAACCGTATATTTTATTATTATGATTATTATTTTTTTA